AGGAAATGAGAAGAGGAAATGATGAAAGAAAGAGGAGTTGTAGCATCCTGCCATGATTTCCCAAGCTCAGCCTTTATTTTCTCATAGTGAACAAACGCTGCCTTCTAGAGAGTGCCATACCTCCAGCCAGCATAGAGTACACTTAGGAGCACAGGTTCCGAACTTGGACTGCCCGAGATCAAAACCCAGCTCCACCACTAAGTAGCTGTGGCCCATGGCCAGTTACTTAACCAGTCTCTGCCACAGTGTCCTCAAATGTAAAATGAGAACAAGAAAGTATCCATTTTCTGGGGGCACTTCTGAGAATTGAAAGACAATTCAGAAGAAAACACACAGAACGGAGCCTGGCACATAGTAAGTATTCAATAAACGCTAGCTGTTAGGATTTGTGTTGAAACAGAAGCCATTCATCTACCCCACATTTACTTACATACATACACTGGACAGGCCGTGGTGCTAGGGGCTGAAGGTAAAAGGGTGACCAAGGCAATGGTCCTTACCCTCCAGAAGCTCATGAACAAACAGACCGGAAATCAAAATTAGGTCTCAAAATTCAGTTATAAAGTCAAGAAGAGTTAACACTGGTCCTATGGCTCTAGGACTAACAATAGTGGTTGTCTCTGATTGGGGGTGGTGGGTAGGTACGTTGGCTGGAAAGAACATGAAGGAAATTTCTTTTAAAGTGATTAGTACAGACAGGAGAGAGACCTTTAGGTCAAGAGAATCGCATGCTCAGGGCTTTGTACGTAGAAGGCAGCACAGAGACATGGGAACCTACCAATTGCTGAGTTTGGGTGTGAGGTGAAGGATGTGAGATCAGGTGGTCAGAGCCTTAAATGCCATACGGAGGAGTCTAGACATCGTCTTATAAGCCATGGGTACCACTGAAGAGTTTCAGCTTCCTTTTCAAGTGGCTGAGGCTGCCCTGCCTTGGAAGCCTGGGGTCCATTAGCCTGGTGGGGAGGAGAAAATCAGGTCTCCCAAACCCCCATAGCCTCAGAGCCCCTCCCAGACAAGAGGGGGAGGAAACAGGAGAAGAAGTGGGAGAAGAGCAAAACAGCCATCAAAGTGAGCTGTACCCAGTGCTCTGAAGGGTAACTAGGAAAAACAGTCATTTCCTGCATCCAGGCTGAACTCCTTCAACTCACCCTGCCCACTAGGGAGGGCGCCCATAGTTGTCCTCATGACCTCACAGGAAGATGGCCCCAGTGGCTCTCTATTTCATGTGTTCAGGAAGGACTCTTTCTCTCCTCACCAAGCTGCCTCACGGTATGTGCTGCTCCTGCTATTTTTATGCCTCTATCAAACCGTGATATGCAGTTGTGCGTCCTGAGAGTATATGAATCCCTCTGCTGTATATGAGGGATTCCTAAATCTTCCCACACTCCCAAACTACAACTGGCTTGTACAACTCTCCCCCTTGGAGCACACTCCTTCCTGCATAGCTAGCATGTCTGGCTGTACTCCACTGCGCTCAAACCCCACTCACTCTTTTCTAAAATATCGCAGATGCTCCCTGATCCCTCCCTTTCCTGGACTTCTGCTGCAACTCCTGCCAATAACTTCCTTTCACCTCTTTTTCCCTGCTGTGTTAGCTCTGTTTCCTCAGCGAGGAGAAGACAGAAGGTCATTAAACTCAGCAAGAGTCTAAAAGCTGTGATTTCGCCCACCAGCCAGGGAACATAATAAATTCTTAATAAATATTTATTGGTAGAGCGATGGCAGGTTTGGGACCATCCAGACCCCGGTGAGGATCACCTGTGCCAAATCAGAAGCTGAGAAAGTGTTTCCATTTCCTGTGACCGTTTTCAGCAGACAAAGGTCCTGTGTAGACTTCAGCTCGGTGGAAAGGACGGTGCTGGGTGGGGGTGCAGAGGGGCAGAGGAGGGTGGAGGGCAGCGTGGCTGGGATGTTGTGGGATGTTTAATCCTGATTCCAAATGACCCAGGCTTCAGAGCTGTGTCCCCACACCCTCCATTAAAGACAGCACAGCTGTGCTGCGAGCGCTGGGCAAAAACGAGGTCAGGTTCATGCCAAAGCCAGTGCGGTTCACAGGTGGGCTCAACTTGCTGCATTTACAGCAACTGTGGAGTCGTTACTGAAATTGCAGACGTGAACCAGCGTACCTGCTGGGAAGAGAATTTGGGATACATTGTGAACTTCAAAAAGTTTCTGCCTGGAAACCGAAGAGGTAACCATGGCAACCGGGAGGCAGGTTGAACTCACAGAGGCCTCTTCATCTTGAGCCCTGAGCTCTGTGCTTGGATTTGCCAGGCTGCGAGCACCGCTTTGTCTCTCTGGCCTCTTTTGCCGGCTTTGTCAAATGGGAGAAAGCACTAGCTCAGGGCTCTGGAGAGCGGGCCGGGTTTCAGCTGTTTTCAGTTCCAAGGCCCTTAAGTAAGGGCACCTCAGGCACTGGTGGTTTTGTTGTCTGCAGAATAGAAATCAAGAGGCCCTTCTGGCCTATTCACAGGGATGCAGACAGGACAGGAAGGTTTAGGGAGGTTCTGTGCACAATCACTATTATTGTCGTTATGTGGCTATGTCTGGGCTGATTCCAACATGGTGGAATTCAATCCGTCCCTAAACTTGTTTTTGTCGCTTGGAGAGCAGCTGTCCCGGACAACACCCACATCCCCACCTGGCAGCAGCATAGTACAATCCCGGGCTGGAGGCTGAGCGGCACCGCATGCAGCCTCGGGCCTCACCTCAGCTGACCACCTGCTCCAGCAGAATGTGCTGCTGGTGGGGCGGGCGAGCCACTTCCTTGTGTGGATGGACGATTGCGCTGAGCTGCACAGACGTTTAGGAGGCATCCTTCGATTGCCCGGGAGCACACCACTGCCGCCCTCCAAACCCCTGCCCCAACCAACCCAGCCCTGCACTTGCGAGAAAGGAAGACCCAGAGATGGGGGTAAAGGTGGACTGCTGGCATCTAAGATGCTGCTGCCAGCATGTGAGCTGCTCTGACTTGACTCTGTCCACCGACCCCCTGGGAGGCTGGGGAAGGATTTGACTACTCTTCAGAGAGCACTCTGTTTGGACTAACCAGGTCATCTTCTGCAGGCCCTGGCTTAACAGGAGAATCTGCTGTGACAAATGGCCCCACGTGTTGCTCTGATTTGGGCCTCCTTTGCTCAAGCAATGCCTCAACTATCTCCAGGCCTTTCCGTCTCATCCCTTTCTGTGGTTTTAACCATTTCTTCCCTGACCAGCTTTTCTGGGCTGTGTCACCCAGCTCTCTCGGGTGAGGACATCTTCTCCTCTTGTCTCTCTCTTCTGACCCTTTACTCCCAGGGTTTGCTAAAGAACAGCAACTCCGAGGTGCCTCTCATGAAATAAAAACCTAAATTCCGAGAGGCACAAAACACGTACTGCTTTTCTTTATTGTCTGGCAATTCCTGTATTCCTAGTAAGTAAACCTGAGAGCTAACGTTTATTGAGTGCCGAGTATGTGTTCAGTGCTGATCTAAGCACCTTGGTGGAGGCTCTTGTTTGGAACCTAGACCCTCATTCCCTAGCCTGTTGTCTGCTGCAGGCTCACAAGCACAGTCTCTCTGAGAGTTGCCCTTGATAGAGGGGGTTGCCTTGAGATTAAGAATATTCTTGGAGCCACCACATCCATTGAATGATCCATGTAAGGTACAAAGGCCTGCCCCCTTGCTTTAATGGGGGCATCCCCTGGGCCAGTGGTGGTCTCTATTACAGCAGCATGGCATTTAACTCTTCCCTCTGCTCAACTCTGCTTCCCTCACTTCCTCTCTGATCTGAGAACTTTCCCCAGCAAGGCACTGCCTCAGGGGAACTGCGTTTTCTGTCTCCTGGGAACTCTAAGAACTCCTGTAATCCTCACAGCTTTTTGAAATAGGTGTGTCCTATTTTCATCTTAGGGATAAGGACACTGAGCCATGGAAAGGTTAAGAATCTTGCCCAAGGTCTCCTATCAGTAAGTGGTGGGGCCATGATTTGAAACCTGGAAATCCAGCTCTGAATTCCACACTCTAAACCCCACATGCAGCCTCTTCAGTAGCAATTCCAAGGGGACTGAGGGGCAACCAGGATGGGGTGGGGTTGGGTGTCGGGGGTGAGGGTGGCCCTAAGGCCTTCATGGGAAGATGAGGAGAGAGGGAGGGCACTTACTACCTTCATCTCAGAGATAAGGACACTAACTAGCTACTGCTTAAACCCAGGGTCATTCATCAGTTTACAGAGGTGTTGGGATTCTAATTTGGGGTGGAAGGGCGATGGAAAAAGCATGGGAAATTCATATTTGAATTCTGACATAACATTGTGTAAGGCTGAGCAAATTATTTAACCTGACTCAGGAAAAATGCCTGGCATACAGATGCTCAATAAAGAGCCCCTCACTGCACCCCTCCCCCACCCCCGCCCCACCCCGGGCCATCTGTCTGCTAATTCCAACCCTCTGATCTTGTGTCAGGTGTCTTTAACTTTCTGACTCAGTTTCTTCATCTCTGAAATGGAGGTGATGGGATGGCTCTTCGCGTAGGAGCACAGAAAACGGTAGTTATCACTATAATCCCGACGCCGTCTCGCCCGGCTGGCGCCCCTTGCTCCCGTCCTTCGGGACCGCGCAGGCTCAGGCTCAGGCTGTGATTGGCACTGTGTGTGCCTCCCCAACGTGCCACCCCCCACGCAAATCCGCCCGCCACCGCTGAGTTGGTTTTCTGCTTTGACTAGAGGCCGATGGTTTTTTTCCTACTAAACTGAGTGGGCGCTTCTCGGCCCGTGTAACTTCCCTGCCGCTTCTCCCTACGCGTGTCCGCGTCCGCCCGGGGGTGGGGGCCGCCGCGTGCGCCCAGCCGCGCACGGCTGTGTGTGCAAGTTGCAGGCGCCCCGCCCCGTCGAGCTCCCGGGGGGGGGGGGGGGCCGCCTCCGCCCTCCCCGCGCTGCCATTGGTCGGCGGCGCGCAGCTCGGGCCCACTCTCTCCGAGGAAATAAAAGCCGCTGTAGCTGCGCCTCCTTGCTTGCCACCGGGTAAAGCCTCGGCTTGCTTAACGGTGCGGTCGCGCCCCTTGCCCCTCTGCCTCCTCGCGCTCGCGGCGACCGCTGGAGCCCGTCACCATCCTCCCCGCGACGTGCTGCCCTGAGCCCACAGCTATGTGCCGGACCCTGGCCGCCTTCCCCACCACCTGCCTGGAGAGGTAAGAGGAGCTTGTCCCGTGCAGCTTGGCAGTCGCCTGGAGGCGTAAGTCCAAGTCCCACCAATCCTTGAGGAGTAGGGTGGCAAGCTTGAGGACCGAGCTGGCGGGAGAATGGGACTCGAGTGACTTCAGTGGAGAGGCAGAGGTCACCTTGGCTCCACGTTCTCAGATGCTTGTCTTAGAGAAGGGACGGGCCAAGAGAAGGAAGGAGGAAAACCAAGGGGAAGTCGAGGGACCACTACTTACTGTCACAGCCCAGCCTCTGACAAATGGCAGTCTTCAGGTGACCTGCGGAAGACCGGCTGCGCGAAGGGCGCGTTGGCATCAGCAGGCAGAACTGCCTTTCTAGTTTCTTAAGCACTTGGTTTTCATTCTCCGGCCCAGATCCAGGAACCTGAGTCCCCTGGCCCTGAGAAGTCAAGGAGGTGTTTTTTCTGGGTCCGCCAGTGAGGCGTGTGCCCACTTCCCAGGGAGCTGCTCAGCCACCTCGAGTCCTTGCTGGAGCTGGTGGCTGTGAAGGTGACAGCGGGAATCAGTTTCCACACAGTTCCAGAAATATTCTTGACAAGGCTAGAGGGTGCTGAGCTGCATTCTGCTAATCAACAGACACAAAGATAGGTTAGTGTCACTGAAGTGGGAAAAAGGCCATGTATGCTGTGCTCTAAACCGGGAAAGTGTAAGTCCTACTGAGGAACAGCTGAAACATTACTTTCATGGTTTCTGGGTTGGTGCCATTAAGGAGAGAAGCAAAGTTTAGGCCCTGGGAACAGCCGGAGGTCCCCAGGAGCTCTTGAGGCTGGAATGTGGGTGGCACCAGCCCGCGCTCTTTCTGGGACACCATAAACCTCTTCGCCCTGGCTGAGCAAATGGAGAATTCTCCCATGTTCCTTGCTTTTGTCTTCCAGAGCCAAAGAGTTCAAGACACGGCTGGGCATCTTTCTTCACAAATCAGAGCTGGGCTCTGATACCGGCAGTGTTGGCAAGTTCGAGTGGAGCAGCAAACACAGCAAAGAGGGGTGAGTCCCGCTGGCCGGCCCAGGGCCGAAGGGGGAAGGATCCAGATGGAGGAAAGGAGGCACAAGGAGGAAAACACAAGAAATTGGGACACGCGAGGGTGGACGTTGGTGACTCCTTCCTAGAGATGTTCGTGAAGGTTCCTGCTGGTCTGCTATGGGTGACTGGCTCGGTGGCGCCTGGGTTCTCAGCCTGTGAACAGAGATGAGTACCCTGCATCGGAATATCTAGCTACCAGACTCCTCCACCTGGGGGTGTCGTTGCCTGTGCAACCAGGGCTAGGACAAAGTCTGAGAACACCTGAGGCCTTTTAGTCAATGACTTTACTCCCATTCGTGTGCACTTTGCCTATAAACCCTTTCATATTGGAAATCAACGCTGCCAGGTGCTGCCCTAAGCTCTGGGGTTCTGGGTAGACCTTAATCTCTATTCCTGAGGCCCTTATTTCCTTGAGGGGAAATGTAGAAAACAAAGCTGAGGATCAAAGGAATAGAAACAATTTTGGACAGTGGAGACACCGACTTCGAGTTATCTGCCGCGGGCTAGAATGTCCCTGATTGTGGTTTCTCACCATTGAATGAATTGTCCCCTAGAAAAATACCTGTAGCCTCAACCAAGAGTTGGAGGAGTCAGCTCCAATAATCACTTTGTGTGGATTATACCACTTCCATCAGAGTTCTGGCTAGGATTTATGCTATGCATTAATTTGTTGATTTTTTTAAAAAAATTAAAATCTTGTATTTTGTTTTTTTAGCAGAAACTTCTCAGAAGATGTGCTGGGGTGGAAAGAGTCATTTGATTTGCTCCTGAGCAGTAAAAGTGAGTAGGACCCTGTTGTATCTGTCTGGGGATTGCACACGTGTACCCATGTGCTTTGGAGCCAGCCTGAGGGATGCTGAAAGCGTGGGCAAAATAATAGTTGTAGTAATAATAATAATAATGATCCCCTAGCGTGCCAGCCTCTATTCAGAATACAAAGGCAGGTCCTTGTTCAAGAAAATTACATCCTAAAAATAGAGCCATTAACTACAATTGCTGTCTTTCTTCTTTTATTCCCGGCTGTCCCGCTGTCTGACCTGTCTCTCCCTCTCTCCCTTCAACCCCAGATGGAGTGGCTGCCTTCCATGCTTTTCTGAAGACGGAGTTCAGCGAGGAGAACCTGGAGTTCTGGCTGGCCTGTGAGGAGTTCAAGAAGCTCCGGTCGGCTACCAAGCTGGCCTCCCGGGCTCACAAGATCTTTGATGAATTCATCCGCAGCGAAGCCCCGAAAGAGGTCAGAGCCTCCACATGTCCCGTGGGTCCTCAGGCCCTGCCTGCTCCTTCCCCACTGAGATCTGGGGTTGGGGAGTGTCCAGCAGGGCAAGTGTTGAGTGTAGACCATGATCGTATCTGGCACAGGTGTGAGTGGGCCTCTGTGGCTGGAGACTAGGAAACCCAGTCTCTGTGCCGCTCGCGGGTGCTGTTCCCCTCGGACTCGCTGGGCTTAGGGAGGTTGGCAGGTGTTTTGGCTTCTGTCCATACCCGCTTTTATAAACTAAGCCCTTTTTAGAAGGCTAAAATATTCCGGTGGGGAGACAGGTCACCCTAGGGACCTGGTGTGACCTGCTTCGGTCCCCTGGCTGACGGTGCCTCAGGCTGGCTGGTTTGTGGTTGCTGAATTTCTCCCCCCCTTCCCTCAGGTCTCCACTGCCTGGCACCAGCGTTTGGTAAAGTGCACGGGGCCACCTTGTGGAGAGAAAATAGTAATGCCTTGCTTTTGTACCCTATCGTGTACTGTATTTTCTGAGCACTTTAATTTTTACATTATTCCATAAAGATTTATTGCACACCAGTGACCTGCAAGGCACTGTTAGAGTCACTAGGGGCATAGCCGAGACAGAAGTCTCTACCCTAATGGGAGAAAATGACAATAACTGTTGAAATAAATAAATATATGTCAGGTGATGGTGTGTTTTGATACAAACAAAGCAGGATTTGAAAGGGAGCACAGGAGTACCGGACGGGTGGACGGGTGAGGGTTTTTTGTTTTTTACAAAGGGAAGTGAGAGGTGGGCTGTTCCATAGTGACACGTGAACAGATAAAAGAAGGGAGGGAAGAACATTCTAACACAGGAAATGGCAAGTGCAAAAGCCAGAGAACACGTGTCCTAGTTAGTACGAAAAAGGCAGTGAGCCCGCATGGAGCACGGAGAGTGAGGGAGGGAGAGGAGGCGATGAGGTCAGACAGGCGGCACGTGGCCAGATGTGGGTCTAGGTGGCCGTGTGGGCCCAGCACGCACGTTGGCTTTTCCTCTGAGTGACCAGGGAGGGCCACGCTGCCGCTGCTGGACGGCCTTGAGTTTTAAAAGGCTCCCTGTAGCTGCTGGCTGGAGAATAGATCACAGGGGTGAGGGTGGAGGGGGGAGAGACCAATTAGGCTCTGACACTCACCTAGGAGAGAGGTGATGGCGAATTGAACTGAGACTGTACAGAGGCAGAGGTGAAATGGGATTGGATTTGCATGCATGCATGCCTGCATTCATTCACTCATCCATCCATCCATCCATCCATCCATCCATCCATCCATCCATCCATTCATCCATTCATTCATTCATTCATTTGAGTGAGTTTGTGAGAGGGCAGAGAAAGGGAGAGAGAATCCCAAGCAAGCTCCCTACTCCTGACCATGAGATCAGGAGACCCCAGGTTCCTGGTTCAGAGTCGGGTCCTCCTTCCACCGCTGCACCTGCCCGCCAGGCCCTCCTTGGCCCCGTGGGCCCCTCACCTTGCCCAAGCCCCACTCACCCACGTGCTTGCCCTCTTTCCCACAGGTGAACATAGACCACGAGACCAGGGAGCTGACCAGGACGAACGTGCAGGCTGCCACGGCCACGTGCTTTGATGTGGCCCAGGGGAAGACCCGCACCCTGATGGAGAAGGACTCGTATCCGCGCTTCCTGAAGTCCCCCGCTTACCGGGACCTGGCTGCCCAGGCCTCGGCCGCCTTGGCCTCTCCGTCCAGCTGCGGCCCGGCAGAGCCCTCGCACACCTGAGCCTCCGGCCGGCCGTGAGGAAGCCAGCCAGGAAGAGAGGTGGAGTCGCCCATCCCTGAGGCAGGTTCTGCAAAGCAGGCCAGAGAGGACAGTGAAGGACTCTGGCCACCTGTTTTGGAAGCAGTACCCTCTCCTCCAGCTACTGTGGGACTGAATTCCGTGCATGAGCGGGTCCCCCACCCCTTCTTCCAGTACCAGCAGATAAGGGCTCAAGAGGAGGGTTGTGTGGGGCTCTCTGGGGAAAAGAAAGGTGGTGTAGGAATGATCGTCGGCTCTTGTTCTCCATGGAACAAGAAATATTCCAGGGTGGGTTGGGAACAACGTGAAAACGAGAGAGGGGAAGACCACCAGCTCACCTCTCCTGCCTGCTGAATGGCCGACCGCGATTGCATCCTGTTTTCCTAGTTCCCAGGCCATCGGGGGCACAGAAGGGGGCCAGGGGTGTGGTGTCTTCCCATTCTGTCCCCCTCACCTGCCTCTGGGCTGCCCAAAGCTCACTTAGCTTGCACTTCTTAACATTCCTGTGTCCAGCCTCCCAGTCTTACTGAGGCCGGAGAACCAGTTTGATGCTTGCCCCAGACGAGAGATTTATACCTCAGAAACTGGCTTTTTGAGCCCCTTTGCAAGTCAGTGGAGAGCCTGGAAAAGGGACCATCTTGCTCCTGTGAAATTAATCTTGGTGCTCTTGGTGACCTTTGTGGGTGGTCCCTGACCCTGTGCCGGCGGCAAGGTCCGCCTGTGAGCTGGGCTCTGCCCTCTCGTGGCTCTGTGCTGCCCTTGAACATGGGGCCCATGAGGAGGAAGGTGTGGGGCCCCTCAGTGAGTGGCTGGCCCAGCTCTTAGGCCCAGCGGGGTGGAGCTAGGGGGTAAAGGGTCATGAGAACTCTTGGCAGTTCCCAAAAGTTCCATTGAAATCAAGCCAGGGTATTTTTTTTTTGTTTTGGTTTGGTTTGGTTTTTTTTTTTTTGGTGGGTGTGAGAATAGGGAAACAGAGCTGCCCGGAATGGAAGGGGAGCCTTGCATTTCTTTCCTGTGGATGTGAGGTGCCCTTACCGAAGTGTGGGGGGAAGTCAGCCCAGGGACCACGATGGCCCTCAGAAGACCTTAGACCCTGGCACTGCAGCTGGGGAGAGAGGCTGCTTGGAAGAGGCTGACTGGGGGAAATCAGAACCTGCTTGTCACCTCAGGGCAACACCCAACACCTATTTTGTGGTGAGACTTCTGCACGAGCCCAGGCCAGGGAGGCGAGTGAACCAGGCAGCCCCCTCATTTCCCAGGAAAAGCAACACTGTTCTCTCTGCGCTCTGAGCTCCTCCAGGAGAAAATTATTTAAGTATAATGTATTGTTGGTTTTGTGACAGTTGTCATAGCATATTATTTTTATTATTGTTGTGTTGTTGCTGTTATTTATTATTATTGTAATTTCAGTTTGCCTCTGCTGGGGAATCTCAGCAGGAGCTGGCAGCCTGACCATCTCCCTCTCCACCAGACTCTACCTCTACGTGCTGGGAACCTCTTAGCGCCTGTCAGGGACTCCTCGCCATTTAAATATTTATTTATTGTTGACAATGGAGCTGGTTTCCTAGATAGGAATGGTGTAATCAACCCTTGTTTCCCTGTTTTAAGCATGTTATATTCTTGTAAAATAAACATAAAACCCAGAAATGAGATTCTGTCTTCAGGGGCTGTGTGGTCAGGAAGAGGTGAGGAGAAGCGCTGTGGAAAGCCTTGTGGAGACACTGGCTTCCGAAACTCCCTTGGGGCACGTGGGAGAGTTTTGTGTCCCAGGCGGAGGCACAAAGGAAAGACCCTGTCTTTGTCTGGTGACTGGCAGAATTGACGAGAAGGGGCGAGGTGCTAAGGGTGACCACCAAGATTGCTAACTTCCTTTAGTTGACGATGGCCCCACCTGGTGTCGAGCTGTTGTGTTGATTGGATCTGGGCAGCCTGCTGCCATTTCTGAGCTGGTGGCCTTTGCCTGGCTGACGCAACGCCAACCATTCCCAACTCTGCCTCTAACAGACCCACACAAGGGGCGCGTCTCCTGGGTCAAATAGCCACATGTTTTCACTGATGTGGTAGCTTTTGGGGCATCTTCACTTTTGCCCGTTCTTAATTTGCACTAGAATTTCATATACATTCAAAGAGTTCATATTTTTAAAATAATTTCATAGAATTATGAGATGAGCTACGGGAAGCCGCTCTGTGTGTGAGGCTGCTCCATTCTAGGGGCTGAGGGAGGAAGGAGGTTGAGCTGGGCTTGCAAGGATCTGGGGGGTAGTTTTGCAGGGATCATATCTGCTCTTCCTTTGCCAACAGCCTGTTCTCTTGGTTTACCATACTCATCCTCTCCCCTACCCCGTTACCACTATTTAAAAATTTCTTCTCTGTTGAATTATGTTTGTGCTATGCGGTTTATTGACTTGGATGTGGATGATCCCTAGTTGAAAATGTGGGGCAGGGTGAGCTCAGGGGTCCTCTGGTGCTGTCAGCCTAAGCACTTTTCTTGAATTATCTGTTTGTACACAGATCTGGACCTGCTTTTGGCTTTTATTTCTCCCCTATCATTAGTCTGAGTAGGTGACCAGACTCCAGCTGTGTCAGGTAGAAAACCCCATAGATTCACATTCTAAATCCAGATCTAAGGGGAAATTCTGTAGGCAATGCCAGGAGAGTTTCAGAATTTAGGGCCAGAGAAGAGTAGGCCCAATGCTGGGGCAGACCCTGATCTCCTTTGGGCTTTACACCAGGTGTGTGAGGGAGGTATATTAGCCTGTAATACCAATGAGGAAACTTAGGCTCGTGGGGCAAGGAACATGCCCAGGGCAGCTGGCTCCAGAGAGCAGCAGAGATGAGATGGGAGCCCAGTTACACCATTGAGGGATGTCCAGTGTGTGAGAGACAGGAGGAGGGACGTGATGGATGTCCAGAAAGATGGGAACCCATGGAGGCGGGAAGCTATGCACATTGTCCTTTCTTTCTTTCCACCTTTTCACCTTTTCACATATCTAAGTGCGGCCTGGGTGCCTGGCAGAAAACCAGAAGCAGTAGCTGTTCTTTCTAGGTTCATTTATTTCATAGCGGGTGGGAATTCTGAATGTGGTTAGACAAGGGCACATGGTTTTGAAGCCATATGGGTGGCCGGTAGGAAAAGGCAGGTGTAGTCAGTGGGTGAGAGAGAAATTAATGGAGCTGAGACAGCCAATGGCTGCAGCGTGTGCTGGCGGGCCCCACAGTCCAGGGGGACCCTCCTCACGGCTTGTCCCCACCCCCCTAAACCTCCCTCTCCCATAAAAAATGTTCTTGGCTTCCGTGGTGTGGCTGAAGGTGGTAGGTACACAATAGAGATATGAGCAGCTCTTTGCTGGGGTGCCTGGGTGATTCAGTTAGTTGGGCATGTGACTCTTGGTTTGGCTCAGGTCATGATCTCATGGTTCCTGAGTTTAAGCCCTGCATTGGTTTCCATGCTGACAGTGAGGAGCTTGCTTGAGATTCTGTCTCCTTCTCTCTCTTCCCTCGTGCATGCTGTCTCTCTCAAAATAAATAAACTAAAAACAAAACAAAAAAAAAAAACCCACAGCTCTTTGCTAACCCAAGTGTCAGGCTCAAAACAGTCCCACGCTCTAATGGTTCTCTGAGAGTTTAAGTGGTTTCTTGAAGGACACATTGCTAAGCACGTGTCTCCAGTATCTTTAGCCCCTTCCCCAGAGCACTCTAGGCTTTGGCTGAGCAGGCAAAGCATCTCCTAAGTAGGAAACGCTGGCCTCTCAGGCCACTCTTGCTACTCTCCACCCTCCCTTGAAAACAAATCTGCCACAGTTCCCCGATTCGCTGTTACTGTCTCGGGTTTCCTTGCTTCCCCATCATGGACCATCTCCCTGCTGTGTCGCCTCGTCGTCTCATCATTGCTTTCCACCACCTTTTTAATCAGCTAGGGAGGCATCTTTCAAAGACCAACTCAACGATCTTTCTGGGAAGCCTTCCCTGAACCTTTGGGACTGATTATGGGGGCCTCTCTTTCAATGTACCACTGCTGCTGATAACCAGATTAGAGCACTTAGATCCCTGTTTTCTGCTTCTCTTTACCTGAGGGCAAGCTCCTGGGATTAGGTGGTTCTTTTTTTCCCCAAGGCCTTGTATATAAGCATTCAGGAAATGGCTCTTGAGTTAATGATTAATTTTAAATCCAACAGGAGAAAAGTTTAGATTACACTTTCCAACTTCCTTCCAGATCTGTCCCTGGGTGTCCCACAGGCTCTTCGTATATAACACATTCAAAACCAAGGTCATCATCGTCCTCTGATATGCACTGCCTTCTGTTTCTCTAACCCTGATATACACAGGGGTTGGCCACCCATTTTTCAGGGTTCTCCATCTCTTCCCTGTGTCATCTCATTCAGTCTTGGAAATGGGTTGAGACCAACTTCTCCTTCCCAGGCTCATGAAGACTTCCTTAGAGGAGCCTTTTGTCCAGTCTGAGCTACAAAGACAACTTTCTACCTGGTTTCCCTCCCTGGCCTCTTGCATTCATACCCCACACTGCCAATCTTCATCCATAATGTGCAGATATGAGCATGTCATGGCTGCATTACCATGGCTCACCTTTAACTACAAGAGAAAGTCCATGACACCTGAGGCTCATTCTGACCTGTCCCCTGCCCAGATGGCCTTTACACACATGTTGTTCTCTGTTGCGGGAATGCCCTCTTCCTTTTTTTCTTTTTTTAAATGGGGGTTTTGGGGTAAGGAGAGAAATGCCTTCCTCTAAATCCAACAAAAACATCACCTCCTCAGTGAAGCCTTCCCAGGTGACTACTGCACAGAATTAATCTCTCCCACTTCCGTGATTCTAGGCCACGCTCTTTTTACTTTGTTGTACACACTGCATGGTGCACTTCATGCTGTTTTCCTTCCCCTAAATTGGTCTCTTCCAGGTCAAAAGCCATATTCTTTTCCTTGATAAAATGGGACAGAACAGAGTGCAGCAAAGTGGTTCACAGCTCTGGCTGTGGAGTCAAAATATTTGGGTTGAAATCCTGGCTCATTTGCTTTATGACCTTGGGAAGTTATTAGGGTAGTTCCCTCATCAGTAAAATGAAGATAATAAAAGCACACCTCTCTTAGGGAACATTGAATGAAATAAACATTTGGCACTTATTTTCCCACGCATATTAGTTGCTATTATGATTACCTGATTCCTGGTACTTAGCACAGTGCCTTGTACACAGTAGGCGTCAGCCAGTTATTATTTACTGACTTTTTGAACAGAACGGAAGACCCCGGATTCTAAGTCTACTTTCTTCCAAGAATAGTCCAGCTGTTCCAGTACTGTATATCATCTGATGTGCAGAGCATTACAGAATTTCGTGAGGAAATCAAGGGCTTGGTAGCGAGTGCCATTTCCAAATTGCTGTTGCTTTCACATATGGAAGGACCCTAGGCCCAACCTTCACCCTCTGCTGCCTCCCTGTGGTCATATCAGGCAATGCAAGCTTTTTCCTTGGTCTTGCTTGACTTCTGCCATATTTTGTTTGGCTCTTTCCTTTGGAATGATATCCAAGAGGTATAATTTATAGTTTTGTTAATTAATGCTTTTTAATAAGCATGTGAAATTTTAATATGAATGAGAATTATTAGCATAACTGTTAAGACAACCTGGTGGGTACAGGGTTTAGAACGAGATTCCTTTAGCCAACTTTAGTCAGTAGGGCTAAATTAACATTAAAAACCGAAGCTCTTAGGTGGAGAGAGAGAGGTGTTCAGGGCATATTAAGGGCTGATCTCAAGGTAATTTCCTTTCACTGAAACTTTTAAATTGGTCCAGCTATTCAAATTGCTTTAGGGAAGAAATGAAATTTGAAATTTAAATAACAGAGGAAAGATCCCGAGGGTAAAGGGATGTAATGCAGTCAGCTGCTAGATAATGGAGTTTGAGTCTCCATCATTAAGAAAAGCTATCTCTTGACTTACAGTGTTGGTGATTTCCAAGTTTTGGTCACCAACCTAGACAAGGATTTGCTTTAAACTTTGAGAAAAGCAATAAAGTGTGGGTTACTCTTTTATTTGTAAGGGGCCCCCACTTAAGAGAGAGTTCTGTGCTGAAAACTGCAAGTGCCTTAACTTATCCCATCTTGCCAGTTCCAAGTGGTAGTTTCACAGACAATGTAGGGTCCTGCGTTAGAGAGCAGGCTCTGAATTCAGTCCCACACCTGCTCCCTATCAGTGGAGTAAACTTCAGCCTATTACTGGATTTCTCAGAGCCTCACTTTTTCCTATAACCTGTGAATAACAACAGTACTGGCTTCATGGGGCTTTTGTGATGACAGAATGAGAAAATTTATGACAAATACGCATCACAGTGCCCCACAGGTAGTAAATGCTCAACAAATCGTAGCTACTTATAGGCCACAGGCACTATTCTAAGTGCTTCACATATATTCGTTTCTGTAATCCTCACAAGCTTCCTTTCAGGTCACTACTGTTGTTATTATCACCATATTACAGATGTACAAACCAAGGCCAGAAGGTTTACGGAAACTGCCCAAATTCAAAGAGTTAGCCAGTTATATATTAGTTAGCTAAATTAGTTAGCTGTTGCTGCATAACAAACCATTCCAAAACTCTGTGACTTAAAATAAGAAGCATGTATTATTGCTCATGAGTCGGTGGGTCAGCTGGGCACTTTTGCTTATCTGGACCAGGCTCACTAACATCAGCTAGGCTTGTTCTTGCATCTGTGATCCAGATCTTGGTGGTCTGGCAAGAGTTGGCTGGTATAGAATGGCCTTAGTCATATATTTAAGGATTGGCTGGTTGTTTCCTTGCACAATGGTGGTGTCTGGGCCGTGTGTCTTTCTTACCACCCAGCAGGCTAGTCCAGGCTTCGTCACATAGTGACAGGATCCGGAGGGAGCGAAAACATACTTAGGTTTGGAACTGGTGCCCTGTTATTTTTGGCACATTCTACTGGGCCAACCAAGTCACTGGGCCAGCCCAGATTCAAAGAGGGGAGTAATGAGAGCACTTAATGAGAATTCAAGTATGAAGTTAAACTGTAAAGGGCATGGGTAAAGGGAGGGTTGAAAAAAAAAGCGTGGCTCTTTTTTGCAATCATTCTATTGTAGTGGTAGAGTCTGGCTTTGAAGCTAGGCAGTCTGGTTTCAGAGTCCTTGCTCTGAAGCATTTTGGTGACTTAGTGCCTTAACATCTGGTAGCAAGAATCTTGCCATTTCCTCCTCCTAAGCACAGAATACCCTGATAAGTCTCTATTCAATTGCAAGTGCTAGGGAGTTTCTAGTTATGCTAGCTGTTTCTTGCTACTCCTTTGTTCATTCCTTCGGAACTCTGCTTTATTATCACTTGGGCCATGAGCATTCCTGTTTTTGTTTGTTTTGTTTGCAAATTTTAATTCCTGATTTTAGCCACACCTCTACTTTCTCGTCTTTTTATTTTGTTCTTAACAGGTACACAGCATAGGTGAGGTGCATGATTACTACAGTCAAAGGAAAGTAGGGAAACCTCGATTTCATTAGCAAAATTATAAGGAAGCTGTGAGAACATCAGTCATGTATGTGATGCAACCTGACCCCATTGTCTTCTTCCCAAGATCCAAGAAGAAGAGCTTCTGGTAAGTAACATGCAGTTTATTGACACTTTAGGGAGAATCCTTGCAGCCTTAGGGCTCTGTCTGGTCAAAAGAAGGAAAGGGGAAGGACCCTGTGTCCCAATCCTACATGTTGTGTGTGGAAAGGGATGAAGGGGGACATCCTGATATGTAGCCTTGGCCTATGTTTCTCTGCATGTCACCAACCTAGTGGCTGGGGTCTCTGTGAGCAGACTGAAGCCTTCTCCTACCAGGACCACTGTCACACTCTGCATGTCTCTTAGGCCACCCCCTCTTTGATTCTCCTGGTTCAGGATGGTCAGGAGTTTGTCTCCCCAGCAAGACCAGACATTCCTTGCGGACAGGAATATTTCCCACTGCAGCATTCAGGACACAGTGCGCATCTCAGTGCCAGGAGGGTGGCAAGAACCGAACTTCTGGAGCAGAAAGAAATCTTAAAAACCATGTTCCATGAGGGAACTGAGACTTGACATGGTTAAACCATCCACCCGCCTGAGGTCACTCCCCTAAGTGACCACAGCACTGGCTGCAGGACCGAGTCTCCAGATGGCCAGCCCGGTGCCCTTCGGAGGAGGCCTTCATGCCTCAGGCAGTGAGTGAGCTGAGGGTGCCAACATGGGTGCAGGAGCTTGGGCTTTGGGTTTATCTAGCTTCTTCGAGCCTCAGGCTCATCATCAACAGGTTTGTTAGGGGTTAACTAAGGTCATGTCACTCGTGAAGCAATGGGCAGGGCACCTGGCACACAGTCAGTGCTCAATGAATATCCATTTACCACTCATTTCCCTCAAAAAGGTAGAGATTTAGAATAACATGGTAAAGATGGGGCTGGAAGCAGTGGCCTGAAAGCCTAAAAGGCTGAAAGATGAACAGCTCTGTTCTGGAGTCACATCAGTTAGAGCTGAGGCCCCACTGTCCTCTAGAGGGCTGTCTGCTCAGGCCCCGACAGTTTATTCTCTGGCTCCTTTCTTGCTGACTCTCTCAGCTCCGCCCTGTGGCTCAGTGACGTCCTGCAAGAAGTGATTTCCTGCAGCCTTTCAGAGTTATCTGCTCTTATCTGCTCTCAAAGGAAAGTTAGAAGGTAAGACCTCACAAAGACGAGAGCTGGGAAAGCTTGAGAAGCTGTTCCCTTTGAGGGATTCCTTGGGCTCCGGGATCTAGAGGTGGAAGGGGGTGTGAAACTCCGGGAGTGTGGACATTGAGCTCAGAGCCTGCTGGCAGGGGGCACTTTGGTCCCGAGTCCTCCAGGGGGCTCCAAGGTTTGGCCACAATTCACACTTACTTATGCGAGCGCTCTCTCTTTGTCTGGCACCTCTGGTGAATCAGAGAAAATGAAACTGAAAGCAGGCTGTTGTCTATGACGGCACGCTTGCTGCGGTGCCTCTTTACTCTGATATTTTATTTGGGGTTTCCTTGACTGCCTTCCCTCCTCTGCTCCTTTATTTCTACCATTTCACACCTGTTGTAACAGGAACCCTGTGCACGCACATTTGTCTCAAAGTTTTCATGGCCAGGGGGTTGTGCTTTCAGAGCACGATCGATTAGATCTCTTGAGGGAGGGGGCTTTGAGACCATCAGGGTGGCCAGATTGCTGAAAAGTGGTTGCTATGTGGGTTATGCTATGAAGCAGGTACAGTTTTACAAATATGCAAGTAACAGTTTGGTGCTGATGCCTGAATTGCAGTCCTGTGGCTCACACCTGGTAGAAGGCAGTCAGACTAAATCAACACCATCAGGTCTCCTGTTTATGTGCTGTGTGTGTGTGCACATAGGTGGGGAGACCAGTCACATTATTTTTTTTTCATAACAAGACATTATTCTCTCATTTATTGAATACCTAATATTTGCCATACTCAACATGCATGACTGTATTTACTGTTTCCCCCTTTGGAGGAAACAGGAAATTGAGAATAATCTAATGTTACACCATTAGGAAGTAACAGTCTGAAGTTATACAACCAGCAGTTCAGACTTCAATCTTGTGAGGCTGGAGCCTCAACTTTTTCCACTTTTCTATATTACCTTGAATAGAAACACAAAGAAGACATGCCCAGAGCCAGCGAACATGCTGAGAGGGATCAGCCTTCCCGTGGTGTAGGAGATGCAAATTGACACAACACAGATTTTTCCCCCTATAAATGAGATTTCTTTTTTTTTTTTTAAAGAACCCATCTATTTCTAGTAAGAGTATATTTATAAGACATTCCAATGTCTCAATGGGAAGACATTTATTAACATAGCTTGAGAGTCATTAAAACAACCAAATCCTTTTGTTGTGGGACAGAGAATTGGTTCCAAACTCAGGTTGCACTTCTAGCTGCTCAAAAATCAATAGTAGAGACAAGTGCTGGTGGGAAAGGAAAGGTTGCTTTATTCAGGAAGCTGATAACCCGGGAAGATGGCAGACTTCTCAAACGTCTCAAAGACCATCTTCCCCATCCAGAGAAAGCCAGGGAAGGCATGGGGAAAGGGAGGAGGGTGGCTGCATGCAAGAGAAGCAGGTGCCCAAGCAGTTAGTCATTCATCAGTATGACCCTGAACAGACGTGGCATCAGCAGCAGCTGTTTCTTACTTTCTTTTTTTAAAATTTTTTAATGTTTTATTTATTTTTGAGAGAGAGAGAGCAGGGGAGGGTCAGAGAGAGAGGGAGACACAGAATCCGAAGACAGTCTCCAGGCTCTGAGCTGTCAGCACAGAGCCTGATGTGGGGCTCAGACTCACAGACCGTGGGATCCTGACCTGAGCCGAAGTCGGTTGCTTACTGACTGAGCCACCCAGGTGCCCTGCAGCTGTTTCTTAATGTAGTTAGGCCTTATCTTCCAGGAAAGTTTGGTCTTTCACTCTTCAAGGCCAGTGGTCTACACATCTCAAGGAGAGTAGATTAGTTCTGCTACAGACTGAGGGACTTAGGTCAGCAAACAGTAAGTGCATAGGTTTGAAGCAAATTGACACTTAAGACCTGTCAGTGTGCTGTTACTCTTTGGCCAGGCATTCGGTTCTTGGAAATCTATCATAAGAAATATATTATAAGATTTCTCATAAGAAAACAAGATTTAGGGGCACCTGGGTGGCTTAGTCAGTTAAGTGTCCAACTTCGGCTCAGGTCATGATCTCGCAGTTTGTGGGTTCGAGCCCTGCATCGGGTTCTGTGCTGACAGCTTAGAGCCTGGAGCTGGTTCAGAGTCGGTGTCTCCCTCTCTCTCTGCCTCTAATTCACTTGCACTCCCCCTTGCAAATAAACATTAAAAAAAGAAGGAAAACAAGGTTTAAAAAGCTCAATTAGCTGCACCATTATTTAGAATTGCTAAAAATTTCTAATTTTAAAAGTCTTATTTAAAAGTTGTTTTTAAACACTGCTCAGTAGTGGTGCCTGGGTGGCTCAGTCAGTTGAGCATCTGGCTTCAGCTCAGGTCATGATCTCGTGGTTGGTGAGTTTGAGCCCTGCATGGAGCTCACTGTTGTCAGCGCAGAGTCCACTTGCAATCCTCTGTCCCCTTCTTTCTTTGCCCCTCCCCTGCTTGTACTCTCTCTCAAAAATAAATAATCATTTAAAAATAAATAAATACTACTAAGCAATAGGGAAATGAAGCAACTGTTTGGTGGCATATTGCATAACCATTAAGGTTTTTTTAGGCTTATTTATTTGTTTGAGAGAGAGAGAGAGAGGGAGAGAGAGAGAACCCTAAGCAGGCTTGATGCTATCAGTTCACAGTCTGAGGCAGGGGCTTGATCTTTCCAACTGTGAGATCAGCATCTGGGCTGAAGTCAAGAGTTGGATGCTCAACCGACTGAGCCATCCATGTGTCCCAACCATTAAAAATATTTTAAAAGACTTTGCAGTAACATAGGAAATTATTTATACTATGGCATTAAATGAAAGAAAGCAGGATACTTACATAACATCCTTACATAGCATGATCTCAACTATTTTTAAAAAATTTATAGAAATATTATAAAATATTAACAATGGCTATTACTGGGTGGTGGAACTATATCATAATAATTTTCTTTTTTTTATTTTTTATTTTTTTATATAATGTTTACTTTTGAGAGACAGAGTATGAGTAGGGGAGGGGCAGAGAGAGAGGGAGACACGGAATCTGAAGCAGGTTCCAGGCTCTGAACTGTCAGCACAAAGCTCCGCGTCAGCGGAGCTCGAACTCATGGCCATGAGATCATGACCTGAGTTGAAGTCGGACGCTCAACTGACTGAGTCACCCAGGTGCCCCTAAGCTTATTTTAAAAGAATATTATGAACAATTTTATGGCAATAATCTAGAAAAGGTAGACAGAATATAAATTTATTTGTACCCCCTAAAGCAATCATTAAGAAAATAACACAAAAATTTTTTTTTATTTATTTTTTTTATTTTTTATTTTTTATTTTTTTTCAAATAGTTTATTGTCAAATTAGTTTCTACATAACACTCAGTGCTCATCCCCAAAGTGCCCTCCTCCATGCCCATCCCCCCCTCCCCCCCACATCCATCAGTCCTCAGTTTTTGTCAGCATTCAAGAGTCTCTCATGGTTTGCCTCTCTCCCTTTCCCCCACCATTTCCGCCCTTCTTCTCCCCCTTGTTCCTCCGTCAAGTTCCTCCTAATCCTCCTATACGTGCAAACATATGATATTTGTCCTTCTCTGCCTGACTTATTTCGCTCAGCATAACACCCTCAAGGTCCATCCATGTTGCTACACATGGCCAGATTTCATTGTTTCTCATTGCCATGTAGTATTCCATGGTATAGATAAACCACATCTTCTTGATCCATTCATCTGTTGATGGACACTTAGGCTCTTTCCATGTTTTAGCTATTGTGGAGAGTGCTGCTATGAACATTGGGGTACATGTGCTCCTATGCCTCAGCATTTCTGTATCCCTTGGGTAAATTCCTAGCAGTGCTATTGCTGGGTCATAAGGGAGTTCTATTGTTAGTTTCCTGAGGAACCTCCACACTGTTTTCCAGAGGGGCTGTACCAGTTTACATTCCCACCAACAGTGTAGGAGGGTGCCCGTTTCTCCACATCCTCGCCAGCATCTAGAGTTCTCTGATTTGCTCATTTTAGCCACTCTGACTGGCGTGAGGTGGTATCTCAGTGTGGTTTTGATTTGTATTTCCCTGATGAGGAGGGATGCTGAGCATCGTTTCATGTGTCTGTTGGCCATCTGGATGTCCTCTTTGGAGAAGTGTCTGTTCATGTCTTCTGCCCATTTCTTCACTGGGTTGTTTGTTTTTCGGGCGTGTAGTTTGGTGAGTTCCTTATAGATTCTGGATATTAACCCTTTATCTGATATGTCATTTGCAACTATCTTTTCCCATTCCGTTGGTTGCCTATTAATTTTCTGGGTTGTTTCCTTGGCTGTGCAGAAGCTTTTAATCTTGATGAGGTCCCAACAGTTTATTTTTGCTCTTGATTCCCTTGCTTTTGGGGATGTGTCAAGTAAGAAGTTGCTGCGGTGGAGGTCAAGGAGGTTGTTTCCTGCTTTCTCCTCTAGGGTGTTGATAGTTTCCTGTCTCACGTTCAGGTCCTTTATCCATTTTGAGTTGATTTTTGTGCATGGTGTGAGAAAATGATCTAGTTTCATTCTTCTGCATGTTGCTGTCCAGTTCTCCCAACACCATCTGTTAAAAAGGCTGTCTTTTTTCCATTGGATATTCTTTCCTGCTTTGTCAAAGATCAGTTGGCTGTATACTTTTGGGTCCACTTCTGAGTTCTCAATTCTGTTCCATTGGTCTATGTGTCTGTTTTTGTGCCAATACCATACTGTCTTGAGGATGACAGCTTTGTAGTAGAGGCTGAAGTCTGGGATGGTGATACCTCCCGTTTTGGTTTTATTTTTCAGTATTACTTTGGCTATTCGGGGTCTTTTGTGGTTCCATACAAATTTTTGGATAGTTTGTTCTAGTTTTGAGAAGTATGCTGGTGCAATTTTGATTGGAATTGCATTGAATGTGTAGAGTGCTTTAGGTAGTAATGACATCTTAACTATATTTATTCTTCCTATCCATGAGCATGGAATGTTTTTCCATTTCTTTGTGTCTTCTTCAATTTCCTTCATAAGTTTTCTATAGTTTTCATCATACAGATCTCTTGTATCCTTGGTTAGGTTTATTCCGAGGTATTTTATGGTTTTTTGTGCAATTGTGAATGGGATCAGTTTCTTGATTTCTCTTTCTGTTGCTTCATTATTGGTGTATAAAAATGCAACCGATTTCTGTACGTTGATTTTGTACCCTGCAACTTGGCTGAATTCTTGGATCAGTTCTAGTAGGCTTCTGGTGGAGTCTGTCGGGTTTTCTATGTAGAGTATCATGTCATCTGCGAAGAGTGAAAGTTTGACTTCCTCTTTGCCAATTCTGATGCCTTTGATTTCCTTTTGTTGTCTGATGGCTGATGCTAGGACTTCCAGCACTATGTTAAACAACAGTGGTGAGAGTGGACATCCCTGTCGTGTTCCTGATCTCAGGGGGAAAGCTCTCAGTTTTTCCCCGTTGAGGATGATGTTAGCTGAAGGCTTCTCATAGATGGCTTTGATGATGTTTAAGTAGGTTCCTTCTATCCCAACTTTCTCGAGAGTCTTTATTAAGAAGGGATGCTGTATTTTGTCAAATGCTTTTTCTGCATCTATTGACAGGATCATATGGTTTTTATCTTTTCTTTTATTGATATGATGGATCACATTGATTGATTTGCGAATGTTGAACCAGCCCTGTAACCCAGGAATGAATCCCACTTGATCTTGGTGGATGATTCTTTTGATATGCTGCTGGATTCGATTTGCAAGGATCTTGTTGAGAATTTTTGCATCCGTATTCATCAAGGATATTGGCCTATAGTTCTCTTTTTTTGCTGGATCTCTGTCTGGCTTGGGAATCAGAGTGATGCTGGCTTCATAAAATGAGTCCGGGAGTTTTCCTTCGACTTCTATTTTTTGGAATAGCTTGAGAAGAATTGGGATTAATTCTGTTTTAAATGTCTGGTAGAATTCCCCAGGGAAACCATCAGGTCCAGGGCTCTTATTTGTTGGGAGATTTTTGATCACTGATTCGATTTCTTCACTCGTTATGGGTCTGTTCAGGTTTTCTATTTCTTCCCGTGTGAATTTTGGTAGTGAGTGTGTGTTTAGGAATTTGTCCATTTCTTCTAAGTTGTCCAATTTGTTGGCATATAATTTTTCATAGTATTCCCTGATAATTGCTTGTATTTCTGAGGGGTTGGTTGTAATAAGTCCATTTTCATTCATAATTTTGTCTATTTGGGTGCTCTCTCTTTTCTTTTTGATAAGCCTGGCTAGAGGTTTGTCAATTTTGTTTACTTTTTCAAAAAACCAACTCTTGGTTTCATTGATCTGTTCAATTGTTTCTTTGGTCTCTATGTTGTTTATTTCTGCTCTAATTTTTACTATTTCTCTTCTTCTACTGGGTTTAGGGCGTTCTTGTTGCTCTGCCTCTAGCTCCTTTAGGTGAGCTGTTAGATTTTGGACTTGTGCTTTTTCTAATCTCTTGAAATAGGCCTGGAGAGCAATGTACTTTCCTCTTAGGACTGCCTTGGCCGCATCCCATAGATTTTGAATTGTTGTGTTTTCATTTTCATTTGTTTCCATATATTTTTTAATTTCCTCTCTAATTGCCTGATTGGCCCATTCATTCTTTAGAAGGGTGTTCTTTAACCTCCATGTTTTTGGCGGTTTTCCAGACTTCTTCCTGTAATTGATTTCAAGTTTCAAAGCATTGTGATCTGACAGTGTGCATGGTATGATCTCTATTCTTTTATATTTATTGAGGGCTGCTTTATGTCCCAGTATGTGATCTATCTTGGAGAATGTGCCATGCGCACTTGAGAAGAAAGTAAATTCCCTGGCCTCAGGATGTAAAGTTCTAAATATATCCGTCAGATCCATCTGGTCCAATGTGTCTTTCAAGTCCATTATTTCTTTAGTGATTTTCTGTCTGGTTGACCTATCCATTGCTGTAAGCGGAGTATTAAAGTCCCCTGCTATTAGCACATTCTTATCTATAAGCTTGTTTCTGTTTGTGATTAATTGTTTTAGATATTTAGGTGCTCCCATATTCGGTGCGTAGACATTTATGATTGTTAGTTCTTCCTGATGGATGGACCCTGTAATTATTATGTAGTGCCCTTCTTCATCTCTTGTGATTGTCTTTAATTTAAAGTCCAGTTTGTCTGATATAAGTATCGCTACTCCGGCTTTCTTTTGATTTCCTGTAGCATGATATATATTTCTCCATCCCCTTACTTTTAATCTGAAGGTATCTTCCCGTCTAAAATGAGTTTCTTGTAGACAGCATATTGATGGATTTTGTTTTTTAATCCATTCTGCTACCCTATGTCTTTTGATTGGAGCATTCAGCCCATTTACATTCAGTGTTATTATTGAAATATGTGGGTTTAGAGTCTTTGTATCTTTTGTAGGGTTCATGTTTGTGGTGGTGTCTCTGGTATCTTTGTTCCTTGCATCCTCTTCTTCAGAGCATCCCCCTCAGGATTTCTTGTAGGGCTGGCTTAGTGGTGACAAATTCTTTCAATTTCTGTTTATTTGGAAAGGTTTTTATCTCTCCTTCTATTTGAATGACAGGCTTGCTGGATAGAGGATTCTTGGCTGCATATTTTTACTGTTCATCACATTGAAGATCTCCTGCCATTCCTTTCTGGCCTGCCAAGTTTCAGTAGATAGGTCTGTCACCACTCTGATAGGTTTCCCTTTGTATGTTAGGGCCCTTTTCTCCCTAGCTGCTTTCAAAATTCTCTCTTTGTCCTTGTATTGTGCCATTTTTACTATGATATGTCATGCAGAAGATTGATTCAAGTTAAGTCTGAGGGGAGCCCTTTGAGCGTCTTGTATTTCCACATTTACTTCCTTCCCCAGGTCGGGGAAGTTCTCTGCTATAATTTGTTCCAGGACTCCTTCAGCACCTTTCCCTCTCTCTTCCTCTTCCGGGATTCCTATGATACGGATATTATTGCGTTTGACCGTGTCTCTGAGCTCTCGAATTCTTCTTTCCTGTTCCTGGATCAGTTTGTCTCTTTTTTTTTTCAGCTTCTTGTTTTTCTATAATGGTGTCTTCTAAATCACTTTTTCTCCTTTCTGCCTCTTCAAGCCGTGCATTGGAGGCCTCTAATTTATTATGTATCTCATTTATCGCATTTTTTAATTCTTCATGCCTATTTTCATTTTCCATTCTGTCTGTAGCCATAGTTTCTTTGATGTCCCCTATGTTTTTTTCAAGCCCAGCTATTAATTTTACCATTATTATTCTAAAATCTTGTTCAGTGATGCTGCTGATATCTGTTTTCAGCAGTTCATTAGCTGTCATTTCTTCTTGGAGTTTCTTTGGAGGAGAGGTCTTTTGTTTCGTTATTTTAGTTAGCTTTCCGGCTCTTGTTGGTTTTAAAGACCTGTTATGCTCTCTGTTTCCATGAGCGCTGCTATATCCAAGAAGACTCTGACTTTCCAGGGCCTATCCTTTCAGAGAGTGTTTTTTGAATGGTATCTCTTGGTCTCTCTTGTTGGGACCTTGGTTATTTTATTTTCCTATTCGTAGTGATATTTGGGACTCTCCACCTTGTGTACTCTAGCTTGTTTCTTGAGGTAGCCATTAGAAGTCTCTCTCAGTGGATTCTGCTTCCTTTTTCTCCCAATCTCTCAGGTTTCGTAAGGTTTCCAATGGCTTCAGATCTTTTCTGTGTGATGTATGGGCGCGAGTGCAAGTATGGAGCTCCTTACTTCTCTGCCATCTTGCCCCCTCCCAGCATAATAATTTTCTATAGTAAATAGTTTATATAAATAAATAGATGCATTTTGAAAAAGTTGCTAGTAAAATTAATTTTTCTAATTCAAATGGTTTCTCACTATTCTAAAATTACAAGTAGCTCTCTCATCTCCAGGTGGAATGTCAGAAGACTGCAAGAGTATTGTTTTTCCTCATACTGCTGTCCCGTAGCCAGATAATCCCTATTTACCCTGAAAGGAGTTCTAAGAGCTCCATGTCTCTTTGATCAAGTCCCAAGAAGAGAAATTTTCATTTTCTCAAAGAAAAGGCACAGAGTTGTAACCATTGGTAATTACCATCATGGAGACCCAGAGCCATAACAACATTCAGGAGAGACCCACACCCTCCATCAAGGGGAGGGCATCGGTGGAGGACAATCAGTTGATGAAAGCTGTTACAAAAGAAGACATAAAGCTGGTTCAGCAATTGCTGGAAGGAGGGGCTGATGTCAATTTCCAGGAAAAAGAGTGGGGCTGGTCACCTCTGCATACTGCAGTGCAAAATGGCCAGGAGGACATCGTGGATCTTCTGCTTCGTTATGGTGCTAATCCTTGTCTGAGGAAGAAGAATGGGGCCACTCCCTTCATCATCGCTGGGATCGGAGGAAATGTGAAGCTGCTGGAGCTTTTACTTTCTAAAGGTGCAGAGGTCAATGAGTGTGATGCTAATGGCTTCACAGCATTCATGGAAGCTGCTGTGAAGGGGAAGATTGAAGCCTTAAGATTCCTGTATAAGTGTGGGGCAAATGTGAATTTGAGTCGAAAGACAAAGGAGGTTCAAAAGAGGCTTAGAAAAGGAGGGGCCACAGCTCTAATGGATGCTGCTGAAAATGGACATGTAGATGCCTTGAAGATCCTCCTTGAGGAGATGGGGGCAGATGTCAAAGCCTGTGACAATATGGGCAGAAATGCTTTGATCTATGCCCTTAGGAACTCTGATCATAGAAACGTGGAGGTCATCACTCGCCTCCTGCTGGACCATGGGGCTGACGTCAATGTGAGGGGAGAGAAAGGGAAGACACCCCTCATCATGGCAGTGGAAAAGAAGCACTTGGGTTTGGTGCAGATGCTTCTGGAACAAGAACATATAGAGATTAATGACACAGACAGTGAGGGCAGTACAGCACTTCTGTTGGCTGTCCAACTCAACCTGATAGGAATTGCTCAACTGTTATGTGAGAAGGGGGCCAGCACAGACTGTGGAGATCTGGTTATGATAGCGAGGCGCAACTATAACAGTTCCCTTGCCAAGTTTCTTCTCCTTCATGGGGCCAGAGAAGATTTTCACCCTCCTGCTGAAGACTGGAAGCCTCAAAGTTCACGTTGGGGGGAGGCCTTGGAACACCTCCACAGAATATACCGCCCTATGATAGGCAAACTCAAGATCTTTATTGATGAGGAATATAAAATTGCTGACACTTCTGAAGGGGGTATCTACCTGGGGTTCTATGAAGGCCAAGAAGTAGCTGTGAAATGCTTCTGTGAAGGCAGCACACATGGACAAAGGGAGATGTCCTGTCTGCAGAGCAGCCGAGCAAACAGTGACTTGGTGACGTTCTATGGGAGTGAGAGTCACAAGGACTGTCTGTATGTGTGCCTTGGCCTCTGTGAGCAGACGCTGGAGGAGCACTTGGATAAGCACAGAGTGGAGGTGGTGGAAAATGAGGAAGATGAGTTTGCCCGGAATGTCCTTTCCTCTGTGTTTAAGGCTGTGGAAGAGCTACATCTACTGTGTGGATACACTCATCAGGATCTGCACCCTGGAAACATCTTAATAAGTGAGTCCTTAGTCTTCTCTTAAAAATTGTGGGGTCTTTACTTATAAAAGGAAAGCATTTTCATTACAGGTAGGAAAAGAGTAGTAAATGTGCACTATTCTGTTCGAAGGTTAATGAACCTGATTCATAATTATAGTGTGGACTCTCCTGCTATGAGGTATAACCCTTAGCCCACATCCCAGATGCCAATGGAATACCAGGCTAACCTTATATTTCCTTTGGTAAATGCAAGTATGAAGGTGTGTCTTGGATGGAGTCAGCTTCAGAAATTTCAATTCCTACAGTAGCCTGCAAGTCAGAGAGTCCTGGGGGCCCCTGGGTGGCTTAGTTCGTTGAGCGTCCGACTTTCGCTTAGGTCATGATCTCGCGGTTCGTGGGTTCGAGCCCCGCGTCGGGCTCTGTGCTGACTGCCAGCTCAGAGCCTGGAGCCTGTTTCAGTCTGTGACTCCCTCTCTCTCTGACACTCCCCTGCTCACGCTGTCTCTCTCTCTCTCTCTCCTAGAAATAAATATAAACAATAAAAAAAATTTTTTAAAAAAAAAGTCAGAGAGTCCTGAAGTTATGTTCCTTCAGACAAGATGGTACTGTAAAACTGAATGGCAAAACTGAGGTCAAAATTGGGCATGCCAGGATGAGATGCAACACGGTGAAATAAACTCCAAGTAGGAAGAACAATCCGCCACCCACTGGCTCATGCCAAATAAAATAATAAAATAAAATAAAATAAAATAAAATAAAATAAAATAAGCAGAGCTGAGTATAAAGTTCCAAGAGGCAATGTGGTGCAATAGAAAAAAGTCTTGGCTTTATACATGTTTAGGGAGGCTTGCAGCCCAGCCCTGCCACTTAGCTTTGCAACCTCAAAGTCACTTGATTCTGTGAGCCTTAGTTCCTTCATTTAAGACTAATAATACCACTTTCATAAGATTGTTATGAGGTCTAAGTGCAGTATGTTAGACAAGTTACTTGTGTTATAGCTGCTCAACCAAGGCCAAGTACTTGTCTAGAGGGCTAAGCAGAAACAGATGTCTGATCTACAGACATGCACTTAGATATAAACTAGGTGTCGCAGAAAAAAGACAAAAAGAGGGTCCAGGTATTAAAAGGCAGAGAACAATATTTAAGATCCTGGACAAGACCTGGAAAGAAGTAAGTATACCTAAGAACACAACTGAAATCTGGCATTTAGTTTGAGGCCACTAGTGGCACTCCTTCCTGGTGTTAAGCTTTGCTGGGGAGACTGACAAAGGCCAGAAATATGTGCAGCTCTACCAAGTGAAGCAGAGTCATCAAGATTCAGCCAATGGCAGGGTCCTTCCTAGTTCCAAATGTCCATCTTGATGCAAAAGGGTCATATATGATGTTCTAAAGAAAAATTACCTGTCACTACCTATTCTTCAGAATTTCTTGCACCCCCTCTTCTATTCTTAAGCTTGAACAATAAAGAATGGACTGTACTTCTGCCTCAAGGTGGTGAACCTAACATATACTAGAGACTATTCTTTGTATTAAATCTCTAAAATGATAGGAAAAGATTGTTAAATGAATTCATAGCTGAGATTACAACAACAAAAGAAGTTTTACATGAGAAAATCTTTGAAGAATCATTAAGAGACTGAACATGATAGGATGGAATTAAAGAAGGAGACTGGAGCGAGGAAAAATACAGGAAGCCACAACTTGATATTACTCATAAAAGTGGGAACAGTGCAAAGAAGCACCACTCAACAGTAATGGAAGCCAGGGGCAGGAGAGGATAAAGGACCAGGTAACAGGCAGATTTCTGCATCGGTAGAAACTAGGAAGATCAAACCCTGTGCATCCCCTCTTCCCCAGAAACCAAGCATCTATGACTGGCCTGTCTGTCAGCAGACAGAGCTACTACTTGAGACACTGGGCAGTTTATGATCTCAAGAGAAATGAAGAGCAATTAAACCCACAAGATTTCTGCCAAAGCACCCTACTAAGTGGCAAGTAGTTTTTACCCCTAAGTTTCACGGAATAAAATGTAAAGCAGTTCTGACAACTGCCTCCATCTCTCCTATGTTGGATGGCATTAACAGAAACTACTCACAGGGCATCAGGGATTCTCAACTGCAAAGTGAGGCTTATTATAGTCAAAAATCACTTAAGGCATTTATGAAGTACTGATCATAAAAGAGATGCATGAAATAGAAGAATTTACACCCAAAGAAACAAAGCTAATTGAATGCATTAGTTTACAATGGCTGCTGAAACAAATGATCACAAACTTGGTCTTAATAGAAACTTATGAAGTGCCTAGGTAGCCCAGCCAGTTAAGCATATGACTTTGACTCACGTCGTGATCTCATGGCTCGTGAGTTCGAGCCCTTGCATTGGGCTCTGTGCTTACAGCTCAGAGCCTGGAGCTTGCTTCAGAGTTGGTCTCTATCTCTCTCTGCCCCTCCCCTGCTTGTGCTCTCTCTCTCTTTCTCTGAAAAGTAAATAAACATTAAATTTTTTTTAAACAATACAAACCTATTCTCCCACAGTTCTGGAGGCCAAAAATCAGTCCCACTGTCTCCAAATCAGGTGTCAGCAAGGCCAAATTCCCTCTGTAGGCTGTGGGGGGAAGATCTCCTCCTTGCCTCTTCCTCTTGGCTGCTGATATTTCTTGGCTTGTGGCATCCCTCCAATCTCTGCCTCTGTAGTCATATTGCTTTCTCTTCTGTCGTCAGATCTCCCTTTGCCTCCATAGAGAATAGATGTTAAAAATTCTCACCACATAAGTATATATGTGACTGTACTTGGGACTCACTCTGCTAATCCAGGATAATTTCTCCTATTTCAAGATTCTTAATCACATCTGCAAAGTCCTTTTTTTATTTTTTACTATATAAAGAATATTCACAGACTCTATCCATGGATTAGGGCATAGGTATTTACTTAGCTTACCATTTTGAATAACTATAGTACAACTTTAAAGTAAGCATAGTTAATAAACCCAGAGAACAAAGATAGGTTATTTCATCCAAGAAGCAAGAATAAGCATTGTGAAAAGAAGCAAATAGAGAATTTGGAATTTAAAAATATAATTGTTTAATATTTTAAAGCTTGGGACACCTGGGTGGCTCAGTCAGTTGAGCGTCTGACTTCGGCTTAGGTCATGATTTCACCATTCAAGAGTTCGAGCCCTGCTGACAGCTCAGAGCCTGGAACCTGCTTCAGATTCTGTGTCTCCCTCTCTCTCTGCCCCTTTCCCACTCATGCTCTGTCTCTCTCTCTCAAAAATAAAAACATAATAAAATAAAATTTTAAAACTCAAGACTATATTGAAGGTTAAACGAGTGAACTAGAAGATTTGCCCAAGAAATTTTCCTAGGAAATAATTATATGCATAAAGGGATGGAAAGGGGAAAAGTTTAGAAGTCAGGAATTAGACCCAGAAGTTCTAAGAGGCATTCCAGAGGGAAGAAGAGAGTGAGATTGAAACAATTTTTGAAAAAAAAAAATAGATGAGAATGTCCCAGTACTAAAATAGATGTAGTTCTCTTAATTAAAAGACTCACCGAGAGCTGAGGATAAGTAAGGGGAAAAAAAAACCCCAATCATTGAGCCACATATTAAAGGAACTTCAAAGCATCAAGGAAAAAGAGAAAACCTCAAAACCTCTGAAGAGAAATAAAAATACCTACTTAGAAACCAAAATCAGATTGGTACGGGACTTCTCTCATCAGCAACCTGAATGCCAAAGGAAGGCATGATGAGCAAGAGCCTATCTAACAGCTGAATGTTAGTGTTGTCTCAGAACTCATATGTTGAAACATTAATCTCCATGTTTGGAGGTGAGACTTTCAGGAGGAGATTGGATCATGAGGGTGAAGCCTTCATGAATGACATTAGTGTCTTTTTTCCCCACAATTAGAAGTTTTAAATTTTTATCCAGCTTTATTGAGATAAAATTGACATGTAACATTGTGTGAGTTTAAGGTATACAATGTGATGATATAATATACATATATATTGCAAGATGATTACCACAGTACGTTAGTTAACACATCACCTCACATAGTTACCATTGTATGTATGTATGGTAAGAACTTTTAACATTTACTCTCTTAGCAACTTCAAGTACATAATACAGTATTGTTAACTATAGTCACCGTGCTGTACATGACATCCGCAGAATTTATTCATCTTGTAACTGGAAGTTTGTATATAATTCCCTGACCTCCACCACTGGCAACCACCAATCTACTTTCTACTTCTATAATTTCCGTATTTTTTATGATCTAAATTTTTTTTAATGTTTATTTATTTATTTTTTAAATGTTTTATTTATTTCTAGCAGAGAGAGAGAGAAAGAGACAGCGTGAGCAGGGGAGGGTCAGAGAGAGAGGGAGTCACAGACTGAAACAGGCTCCAGGCTCTGAGCTGGCAGTCAGCACAGAGCCCGACGCGGGGCTTGAACCCACAAACCGCGAGATCATGACCTAAGTGAAAGTCGGACGCTTAACCGACTAAGCCACCCAGGCGCCCCTAATGTTTATTTATTTTTAAGAGAGAAAGACAGAACATGAGTGGGGAAAGGGCATAGAGAGAGGGAGACACAGAATCGGAAGTAGGCTCCAACCTCTGAGCTGTCATCACAGAGCCCAACGTGGGCCCTGAACTCACAAACCATGAAATTATGACCTGAGCCAAAGTCGAATGCTTAACCAACTGAACCACCCAGGTGTCCCTCAGGTTTTTTTTAGATTCCACATATAAGTGAGATCATATAGCATTTGTGTTTCTTTGTCTGACTTATTAAACTTAGCATAATGCCTTCAGAGTTTATCCATGTTGTCATAACTGGCAGGATTTCTGTCTCTTTTATGACTGCATAATGTTCTGCTGTGTGTGTGCGTGTGTGTGTGTGTGTACGATTTATTTATTTATTTATCCCTTCTTCTGTCAATGGACACAGCCTGTTTTCATGTTGGCTAATATAAATAATGGTGCAATGAACCTGGAGATGCTGATATCTCTTCAAGATACTTCCTTCAAATATACTTTTCTATTTTATCCATTTTTAATTTTTTGAGAAACCTTAATGGTATTTTCCATTAAGGCTGCTCCAATTTACATTTCCACCAACAACATACAAGTATTCCTTTTCCTCCACATCCTCACCAATCCTTGTTATCTTTTTGATAATTTTTCTAACAGATGTGTGGGATGATATTACATTAAAGTTTTGATTTGCATTTCACTGATAATTACTGATATTGAACAATTTTTCATGTATCTGTTGGCTCTTTTAATGTCTTCTTGGAAAAAATGTCTATTCATGTCCTTTGCCCATTTTTTAATCAATTTGAGTTTTGCTATCGAGTGAATTTCATATATATTCACTCCAAATCAGATATATGATTTGCACGTATTTTTTTATTCTATTCATTCCCTTTTCATTTTGTTGATGGTTTCTTTTACTGTGCAGAGGCTTCTAGTTTGATGTAGTCCCCATGTTCATTTTTGCTTTTGTTGCCTGTGGTTTTGGTTTCATATCTAAAATATCAATATCAATATCAAGGAGCTTTTTCTCTGTTTTTTTCTAGGAGTTATATGGTTTCAGGTCTTATATTTAAGTCTTAATCCATTTCAAATGAGATTTGTAAGTGGTTTAAGGTAGGGGTCCACTTTCATTTTTTGCATGTAACTACCTGGTTTTTCCAACATCATTAATTTTAAAGAGATTATCTTTTTCTGTTGAGTATTCGTGGCTCTCTTGTCAAATATTAGTTGACTGCATCTGTGTAGATTTATTTTGGGGTTCTTGATTCTGTTTCACTGATGTGTCTGGCATTTTTTTTTTTTTTTTTTTTACCAGTGCTACATTGTTTTGATTATCAGAGCTTTGTAATATAGTTTAAAACCAGGAGGTGTGATCCTCTAGATGTGATCTTTCTCAAAATTGCTTTAGATGGATTCATGCCCTTATAAGAGGAGATCATAGAGGGCCACCTGGATGGCTCAGTTGGTTGAGCCTCTGACTCTTGATATCCACTCAGGTCATGAGCTCATGATTTGTGGGATCAAGCCCTGTGTCGGGCTCTGCGCTGACAACATGGAGCCTGTTTGAGATTCTCTTTCTCCCTCTTTCTCTGCCCCTCCCCCACATGTACTTGCTCTCTCTCAAAACAAACAAACAAATAAATAAACATTAAGAAAAAGAAGAGGTCATAGAGCTAGTTAGCTGTCTTCCCACCGTATGGGGATACAGCAAGAAGATGGCTGTCTATAAACCAGTGAGAGGGTTCTCACCATGAACCCAATCCTGCTGACACCCTGATCTCATACTTCTAATATTCAGAACTGTGAGAAATAAATTTCTGTTGTTTAGGCCACCCAGTCTGTTGTGATTTGTCATAGCATCCAGGACTGGCTGAGACATCAGTCACATTATTATTGTTCACACATGATTCAAAATAAATACATATTTTTGATTGAAGTATTATTAACACAGTGTTTTATTAGTTTCAGATGTATAAAATAATGATTCAACAATTCTATACATTACCCGCTGCTCATCACAATAAGCGTACTTTAATCCCCTTTTATTTATTTCACCCATCCCCCTCCACTTCCTCTCTGGAAACCACCAGTTTGTTCTCTGTATCTGAGCCTGTTTTTTTGTTCATCCTTTTTTTTTCTTTGTTCATTTGTTTTGTTTCTTAAATTCCATATATGAGTGAAATCCCTATGGTGTTTAGATTTCTCTGACTTATTTCACTTAGCATTGTAGCCTCTCAGACCATCCATATTGTCACAAATGGCAAGATTTCATTATTTTTGATTGCTGGGTAATGTCCCATGACCCATTATATATAATATATATATTATATACCACATCTTCTTTATCTACTCATCTGTTGATAGACACTTGGGCTGTTTCTATATCTTGGAAATAATGCTGCTGTAAATGTAGGGGTGCATATAACTTTTCAAATTATGTTTTCTTTGTGTAAATCCTCAGTAGAGGAATTACTGGATTATATCATATCTATTTTTAATTTTTTGAGTAACCTCCATATTGCTTTCCACAGCAGCTATACTAATTTACATTCCTACCAACAGTGCACGCTTTTCTCCACATTTTTACCACCTATTTTTTGTCTTTTTGATTGTAGCCATTTTGACAAGTGTAAGGTGATATCTCATTGTGGTTTTGATTTGCATTTCGCTGATGAAGAGTGATGTTGAGAATTTTTTCGTGTGTCTTCTGGCTGTTTGTATGTCTTCTGGAAAAAGTTTCTTTTTAGGTCCTCTGCCCATTTTCAATTGAAATTTTTTTGGTGTTAAGTTGCATACAGTCTTTATACATTTTTGGCATTAACCCTTTATTGGATACCTCATCTGCAAATATTTTCTCCCATTGAGTAGGTTGCCTTGTTGTTTGGCTGATGGTTTCCTTCACTGTACAGAAGCTTTTTATTTTGGTGTAGTCCCAATAGTTTGTTTTACTTTTGTTTTCCTTTCCTGAGGAGACATATCTAGAAAAATACTTCTATGGTCAATGTCAAAGAAATTACTGCTTATGTTTTTTTTTTCTCCAGAATTTAATGTTTTCAGCTCTCACGTTTAAGTCTTTAATCCATTTTGAGTTTATTTTTGTGTATGGAGTAAGAAAGTGGTCCATTTTCATTCTTTTGTATGTAGCTGTCCAGTTTTCCTAACACCATTTGTTAAAATACATTTTTTACACATTCAAGGGTCCAGGATAACTTTCTACCCACAGACCCTACAGGAAAGATCTGCTAGAGGATATGCAGAAGGAAGGAGAGAGAGTCTGGGAGAAAACAGTAACTTATAAGTAGAAAAGAATAAACAAAGAAAGAATTCATTGTTTATGTAAATTATATGCATTGTCTTTTTAAGAATTAAAAATATATTAATCTTACATAATATCACTGTGGTGGGAGTGAGGATGAAGAGGTTCTTGATTCATTCATTGACAGCAGAGCAGAGTGGGCAGATTTTGTCCTGACTCTGCCCATCAACTGTTAACAGTCTATGATGATATAAGTATAGAAACTGTCAGAGCTTAAAATTTTGATAGCACTTTAACAATGTCTATTGAATCCAAAAAAAAAAAACAAAAACCAAAAACAAACCTGGGCTTGTTAAAAAAAAAAAGAATCAAGTGTTAGGCAGAGATGTGAAGTGTTCCATCAGGCACTTGCCAATTTAAGTAGCAGAACTCGTCTCCAAGCGTCTTAAACAGTGAAGGGAATTTATTAGTTCGAATAGCTGAAAACAGTCCCTGGTTATAATCTGCACCTCATCTGCCCCTTCAGCCTAGTTTCCAACTGCATCCTTCCTCTCCAGGCACTTGGCCTGCTTTCTGTCAGAGTGGAATTCTTCAGGCTCCTTTCTGCCTTGGGAATTCTTATATGGAATTCTCTCTTCCCTGCTCTACTCACTCACTCAGATTCTACTGATGTTCTTTTTTTTTATACAACATTTTTTTTTCATCTCAAAGGATGAGTTTTAATTTTTTAAGTTTTTAATAGTTTACTGTCCAGTTGGTTTCCATATAACACCCAGTGCTCATCCCCACAAGTGCCCTCCTCCATGCACATCTCCCCCCTCCCCCTCTCCCCAACCCCCATCAGTCCTCAGTTTGTCTCAGCATTCAAGAGTCTCTCATGGTTTGCCTCCTTCCCTATCCCCCACTATTTCCCCCACCTTCTTCTCCCCCATGCTACTGATGTTCTCTGTCAAAGTGTCCTTCCTTTTTTTTTTTTTTTTAAGTTTATTTTATTTATTTTGAGAGAGAGAGGGAGAATGTGTGTAAGCAGGGGAGGGGCAGAGAGAGGGGGAAAGAGAGAATCCCACTGTAGCAGGCTGCATGCTGACAGCATGAGCCTGATGCAGGGCCCAAACTCACAAACCGTGAGATCATGACCTGAGCTGAAATCAAGAGTTGGATGCTCAACCAGCTGAGCCACCCAGGTGCCATAAGTGTCCTTCATTAAGGAAGACTTCTTTCCCACATACAGCCATGTGGCTCTTGTTATACATTTTCAGAGAATCCTGCACTTTTGGATAGCACTTTTAAAGTTGCATTTAACTGTATGTTTACCTGTGTAATTATTCACTATCTAGCTCCTTTTTCGGAGACTCTGAACTCTGTAGGGCCTGTGCTGTGTTCTCTTCCACTGTCATGTTTCCCCTCACTAGGCCCTTGTTGAATAACTTAATGGATTCATTATCATTAGACTGTGGGTTTCCATGCAACTGTGATATTTAAGTTCAGAATGAAAGGGGTTCAGGAATCACACAATTCTGCTGACCATCATCCTATCTGGAGTTACCCAGTTTTCTTTCTTTGACTCCTTCAAGCCAGAAGCAGGAGCCACTTCTTCAAGGACAGATCACTGACTTGCTCTCCTCTCATATTGTCCTGGACCTCTCCCATCCATGCATCCCTCTTTCTGAGGACTCAGTGGCTTCTTTCCAGGGAGAAGGATTCTGAAGAGGGGAAGGAAGCAGTGACTCATAACAAGCACATGGTTAATCCATGATAACTGAGTGCAGTATCATAGAGGGATGTGGTTGGTGGGCTTGATTCAGTGGAGTGCTGTGCTAATCTAGTCTTGGATTTGGAATCTTGTTGGTTAGCTGTTAGGTAGCCTTAGGAAGTCAACATATCTCCCGCCAGCAGTTCCTTTATAAATCTGTGCTCTTTGCCCCCAGGAATTGCCTGAATGGGGAGCCAGTTAAATTTATCCTCATCCTTCCTCACCTCAGGACTGGAAAAAATAAAATAGAATTTAAATCCTGTCTTTGGCAGATACCTAAAAAGTCAAATGATATGGTGCACATGGCTCTTTTGAGGAGTAAGTAGCCATGCAGATATAAGCTTTGTTACTGCTTTCTTCGGCAATGGTAGTGCATTGCGGTACATACTTATTTAAGTTAATTACAACAGGAAGAGAGAGGATTTTCATTGCATCTCTACAAACTATCCCCTAGATTCCAAGAATGCTATCTGCCTGGCAGATTTTGATAAAAGCATCAAGTGGACTGGAGAGCCGAAGGAAATCAAGACAGATCTAGAGGTAATTTCTAGAACTGGTTTTCTTTTCCATTTTTCACCTTCCTTATTTGTTTCATTCATTCCCTTATTTCCTATAAGCAATTAGACGTCATCGTTTCTATTTTAACTACCTTTCACGGCATTTTCCCAGGGCTCACTGCCGTCAGTCCCTTGCAGACAGTGGCATTTCTCTGGGTTGGCGTGGAATTGGTTGTTGCCGTGACTCCTTTCTGTATCACTTTGGATCTCTCTCTTCCTTCACCAGCAAGATAGTAAATAAATCAAGCATGCCACATCTCTTCTAAAATTACTTCCAGGAAGAATCTCCAAATTACCTCCAGAATCCCTACAGGAGGTATTTTCTGCCTAAAGACAAAACACATGAAGTTTCTTTTCCCATTCCATTCAAACTTGGGTACCAAACTCCTGGGACGGCCAGATACTACAGCCCTCTGAAACACAAGAGAGGGATGGGATTGATCTTCAGCTTGAAAGAGACTCATCTTGGCCAAAAGGGTTAAGACCCTGAAATAGCTGTTTATTCTGGGAGGACACAGGGCAGAAACAGAGCCTGACCTCTGTAGACCAAAGCTCCAGCTCCCAGATTGATTCTGACTCTGTCAGGGCAACTTTGTCCTGGGCGATTCTTCAGGGTGCTGAACTTTGAACCCCAGGAGCAAAAGCTCTCCCTCCATGTCTGGCCTTTGTTGTTAAAAGGCTCTAAATTTTAAATCCTTCCCTGACTAGTGTCTTTCCTGCTGCAGGAAGTTCCTATGCTGACCTCCTTCTTGGCCTTTCCTCCCTGCCATGGCCTAACTCCTGGGGCTCTCACCGTGTCCCACTGGACCTGGACTGGCTCCTTTTTCTGCTGCCTGACATAGTCCCAACCCAGAGTCCCAGTTCCCAGCCAGATTCCTCCCATTTCCCTTTTTTAAAATATTTTTCCTCTTCCCTATTTATCTATATGCTATTCATACTTTAAGATCCAGCTCAAATTCCTCGTTTAAGCAGTTTGCCCTGACAACTCTGACTCAAGATTATCTTTCGTTCTTTATAAACCTCAGTTGTGGGGACCATATACTGCCTTGAAGGGTTCTCCATGCACTACCTGTGTCTTCTCTGCCTAACAAGTCTGTAGACTCCTTGAGATTTCTCCCACTTTCTATTTGGTCATAACCTATATCACATCTGCATACAGACTGATAATTCATAAACATTAACTTGATTTATGCATTTCATACAGGCCCTTGGATTGCTGGTCTTATATGTGGTAAAGAAGGGAGATCTCCTTTTTGAGACCCTGAAGACTAAAAGTAATGAAGAGGTAATTCAACTTTCTCCAGATGAGGAAACTCGGAACCTCATTTATCACCTGTTTAACCCTGGAGAAAATGTGAAGGAGCATCTGAGTGGCCTGCTGGGTCATCCCTTCTTTTGGAGTTGGGAGAGGTAAGTAAAGCTTGATTGCATATTACAGGCCTCCAGAAGGGAGACAGTGAGTGTATTAGGAGATTTTACATATCAAATGATAACTATAAGCATATATTTATTTTTCATAACGAAATGGCTCATTCAGTACTGAGGCTGAGAATTCTCATGATCTGCCTTTGCAAGCTGAAGATCCAGGAAAGCCAATAGTGTAATTTAGTCCAAATCCAGGGCCTGAGAGCCAGGAGCACTGATGATGGCGATTCCAGTAAGGATCCAAAGGTCAGAGAGCTAGTAGGGGTGAGGGCAAGAGAAGGTTGATGTCCCAGATGAAGCTATCAGACAAGAAGGGGTGAATTCCAGCTTTTGTTCTCTTCAAGGCCCTCAGTGGATTAGATGAGGCTCATTCACGAGGGGAAGGTGATATGCTTTACTGAGTTCGCCAATTCACATGCTAATCTCATCTGGAAACACCTCACAGATACACCTAGAATAATATTTAATCTGGGTCCCTCATGTTACACGTAAAATTAACCATTATGGTAAGGTGCTGTGGGAAGGAGTCAGGCTGGGACTCAGTAGACCCCAGCTCTCCTCTCAGCCTGGCATTTCCTGACTGAGTATCTTTGGAGTAGTGACTTAACCTCTCTGGATTCTGGTTTTGTTTTCTGAAGAACAGAAAGAGAGAGAGCGAGAAAGTGAGAGAGCAAGAGAGAGAAAGAGAGAGAGAGAGATGCCTTCCTCTTCCATCATACAGAATTTTTAGAAACACGGTTTGACTACTTTTATCAAAAACCAAAGTGTAACATTGTTTTCTTTCTGAAAAGAGAAGGCAGAGTGGAATGACCATGGTAATTCTGTCATCCTCAGCCGCTATAGGATGCTTAGGGATGTGGGAAATGAATCGGACATTAAAATACGAAAACGTGATAGCAATATTGTCCAGCTACTGCAACCTGGAACATCTGAACATTCCAGAAGTTTTGCCCAGTGGACTTCTAAGGTATGAACAATTCCTATTGTCTGGAAATTATTCTAGGAGTAAGAATCTATGAAATATGTTATGTTAGTTTTTGTTTTAACTTTTATTATACCGATGGCCTGGCCCAGCCAAGAGTTGGAAGACATGACTTCCCTGACTTCCTCCCCATCCCAGCCCCCTCTGCCCTGTTGGGTCTCTGCCCCATCTTTCAGAGGCCAGGCCCTCTCATCTAGACTTCTCTTCAGGATGGCCTTTCCAAGCCCAGGAGCCTTTTCCTTTCTTGTGGCTCATTCCTTCTAGCTCTGGTTCTAAGAGAGGCCTGGCTAATAATCCTATTACTATTGTGACAAGAGCAGCTGATTAAATAGCGTTTAACCCCAAGGAGGTCCTGCACCCTGAGGCTTCTCAGTCCAGTGAGAGATTGGCTGCCTCTGCTGACTGTCCAGCCCAGCTCTGAGGACTGCCCCTCCCCCCATCTAAATTCTGCCTGAGGAAACACACCGTGAAGAAAAGATGATCTTTCAAATTCCTCCTCTTCAAGATAAGGTCCACCTAACTTGAACTAAATATAGTAAAACATAAAAAATCAATCATCACCTCGATCTAGTCAGTGCTACCAAAACTTTCATTATTATTACTTAGCAGGCCCCTATCGAGTGCCAGTTACATGCTAGACCCATATGAAACTGTGGGCATGTACAGCAAGTACAGCTTGGTCCACAGGGGGCCGAGAGACCGAAAGAAACACTGGCTGTATGATACATGCTGGGCACCCTGGAGACAGTGCAAAGCCCTATGGGAGAATCCATAACCCTCAGGTCTTTGATGGAAACCAACAGCTTCCCAATCATAGGCCTGATTTAGAACTGCTTCTCCCATACCTCTTTGTTTCTGGGTTTCATTTTGGTTTCCTTCTCTTACTTGCTTCTAGATAACACGTCACACTCATAATTGCTGCCTTAGTGTCCGTTTTTTCCTGCTGCCCTGCAAATTCCAGGGGGGCAGAGACTGTCCGTTGTCTTGTCCATTATTGCATTCCTGGCATGGAGTAGGTGTGCCATGACTCTTTGCTAAGTGAATGTCTATGAAATTTCAGCTAAAACATACACTTATAGAAACAGAGAGACAGACAGACAGACAGAATCCATAACAGGCTCCAGGCTCCAAGCTGCCAGTACAGAGCCTGGTGTGGGACTTGCAGCCATGAACAAGATCATGACCTGAGTCAGAGTCGGACACTTAACCGACTGAGCCAACCCTGCACCCCTCAAGTCTTATCTTTTTTTTTTTTTATTAACCTAGATCTTTATTTTTTTAATAATATAGTTTATTGTCAAATTGGTTTCCATCCAACACCCAGTACTCATCCTAACAAGTGCCCTCCTCAGTGACCACCACCCACTTTTCAGGTCTTATCTTTTAATTTTCCCATTTGAGACTTTGACTTCCTATTGATTTTCATGACTTGCCCATTTTCATGGTCCTCTACATTCATCTTTGCAACAGTACCAAGGAGCCAAGTTTTCCAGTCTGTGCTCCTGTCTCCTCTCCCCGGGGTGCCCCACCCTGGCATGCAGTTGCTCAGCCCTTCTCCCAGGTGCTCTGCACGTGGTACATGCAGACTGTCTCAGCAGATCTTCACTGGGGTGGTCTGGTCACCTGTGACTCTTCTTAAGGGACCGTCTGGCCTCACAACTGTTGGGTGCTATTCTCTTACCCCTAACACTTTGTAAAACAGAGGGCCACCTACAAGGGTGCAAACACACAGAGAAAGGCACGGACGTGGGAGATGCTGTCCTGGGACATTTAGAGGCAAGGAGGAACATGGAAGCTTTGGAAATAGAATTCAAAACAAAACAAAACAAAAACCAGCACTCTCACTTTGGCAATGGCTACCGGGTCCGATTTTAGTCTGAACAACCCTATTCGAGGGGGAAATGTAATCAATTGCCAACTTGGACAGGTGGCCACCAGAATAAAAATATTGCATAGTCTAATGAGCAGATTTCCTAGGATAGTAGTCAAAGAATTTCTAAACCATGTTTTGATATATTTAACTTCTTATGAAAACAATTCACTTAGAAAATAGATACCAGAATGTAAAGTTACTCATAATCCCACATCCAGACACAACTACTGTTAGCATTTTGGTGTATGGTATTTACTTCCATTCTGTTTCTTTCTATTAATTTGCTTTATTAATTAGTGGTCATTGGGCATATATTCAAATTCACATTTTGCCTTTTTGTATTAATAGCACATCAGGATTTATTTTGTGTTGCTGCCACATTTTTGCATAATATTTTGTTTTTTAGATTGACAACTATGTTATGGAAGAAATGAATAAGTATTATGAAAAACACAAACGCTATAAGAACACTGTGAATGATCTGCTAAAGTTCATCCGGAATTTGGGAGAACATATTAATGAAGAAAGAAACAAAAAGTAAGTACTATTTCTGTTCCTGTAAGTCATCTATGAAATGAGGATGATTTAAAAATCCAATTGTAGGGGCGCCTGGGTGGTTCAGTGTTGAGCCTGACTTTAGCTCAGGTCATGATCTTGCCATTCAGGAGTTTGAGCCCCACATTGGGCTCTGTGCTGACAGCTCAGAGCCTGGAGCCTGCTTCTGATTCTGTGTCTCTCTCTGCCCCTACAGCTCACGCTCTCTCTCATTCTCTCTCAAAAATAAATAAACATTAAACATTTTTAAAAATTTAATTCTAAATTTATATCTGCTATTTGTTAGAAGGAAGGAAATTTACTCTGATGAAAGAAAAGTGATTTCTCCCCTCTGGGGAGAGGCCCTCTGGAAAAGGCCAACACAGGGGTCTTCCAGTGAATGACAGATGTGCCCAGCAGGCTCTTATCCTTCTTTTTAGCAATTGCTGAGCTCTTTTGAACAGAAGGGTAGTGACTCCCTTTTGGGAAGAAATGGAGGGTCCTGGGCAGCTGGCTAAAGTGAATGTAGTGCTGTAAAAGTCTCAAAAGTAGCCCGTGTTAGTGAAATCAGCTTTTGCTGCCTAAAATGTTAGCTGCAAACTCACAGAAAGCTTGCAGTTTTCAGGGCTCTTTTGGATTTTGGAATTGTAGATAAGGGATTGTGGAACAGCATCATCTCCATGTTATGGAGGATAAAACAGGTTCACAAAAATTAAGTTGCCAGTTAGTTGAAGAGTTGGGAGACAAATCTTATTCTGTCAGATTTTAAAGTCCTTATTCTGCTCTAGAAATCAAGGGAGCAAAGAGATCTTTGGGTGCAGATGCTACAATGGGGGAAGATGATTTGGGGGCAACCGTGCAATATATTTATGTTTCATTTCAGGATGAGGTCGAGTATTGGAGAACCTTTCCAATATCTGCAAAAGGAATTTCCCGATCTGGTCATCTATGTCTACACGAAACTACGGAACACAGAATACAGAAAGCATTTTCCCAAAACCCACAATTTAAACAAACCTTAGTGTGATGGAGGTCATCCCTGAGTGGTGTCTAAGTTTTTAGAGTTCAGAGAGGTACTTATTTAGCTGTGTGATCCTGGGCAAGTCACAACTCTCTGAGTCTCTTAACTAACCTGGCTGTTTGTGAGGATGAGTTAGATAGTGGATGTGTCAGGCTCTGATACACTGCCTGGTCTTCCCCACATGTTTATAACAACAACAACAAAAAAATGTATACGCTCAAACTACCTTCCTTGTCTTTTTTACAGGTAAGGCTTAGTGGCAGGAGCTGGGAGGGCAACCTTCTAAAATATCTCTTGTCAGTTGCACCCCAGGAGTACGTGCCTACACATTTAATGCTTGTATATTTTATGTTGACTGTCTCATTTAATTCTGCCAATGACCTTGCAAGACAGGATTTATTATCCCCATTTAAGAACTGGCAGACCTGAGACTCAGAGAGTTTGAATTACTTGCCCAAGATCATACAACTTGCATGGAGCATGGTATAAATGCATGCCGTGTTATTGTTATCATTTACTTGGGTATTTAAAACTTAATCACTAGCCCCAGGGATCTTCTGGATGGATCCCCCAAAGGAATATGTAAAAGAGACTCCAGGAAGTTTATTCACTCATTTACTCCACTTATTCATTCATTCATTCACTCAATATTTGTTGAACACCTAGTATAAGCCTAGGCACTAACTGTATGAATTCCATTCCTCCTAGAACCACCTACACTGGTTTTCCATGACCTCATGGCAGTAGCTCTCAACTGGGGGCAGTTTTGCCCCTCAGGGGCCTTTTGGAATTGTCTGGGGATGTTTTTGGTTTTAAATCTGGGAGATAAGGCGTGTTATTGACTCTGATAGATGGAGGTCAGGGATGATGCCAAACATTCTATGATGCACAGGATAGCCCCCCACAACATAGAATTATCCAGCCTAAAAGATCAGTGGTACTAAGACTGAGAGACTCTGCCTTAAGAGATTGGGACACTTTTGAACTGGACTTGGATTTGTAGTGAAACAATTCCAGTGTCACCTCCTCAGGAAGTCCCCCGAACACCCCCACCCTCCACACCCCAGTCTGAATGCGCTCTGGCCCCCTAGCACCTAGAGCATGCTTCTCTCCACCTTGAGCTTACTTCTTGCCCACTGGAATGTAAGCTTCCAAGGGCCAATGATATATATAATGTTTATTTATTTATTTTGAGAGAGAAAGTGTGAATGAGTGAGGGGCAGGGAGAGAGGGAGAGAGAATCCCAAGCAAGCTTCATGCTCAGTGTGGAGCCTGATGTGGGGCTCGATCCCACAACCATGAGATCATGACCAGAGCTGAAATCAAGGGTTGGACACTTAGCTGATTGAACCACCTAGGCACTCCAATATTTATTTTTTTATTTGTATCATTGATGCCTAGCAAAATGTCTGCCACATGGTAACGTTCAACAGTCACTGAAAAGTGAATGAACCATTTTCATAAATGAGTAATAATGTTACCTTACATTTTAATGGTGCTTTATAATTTATAAATTACACCCACATATTTTCCCTTTTAGTTTTCAAAATAATCCTGTAAGGTAGGTCTTGTTATCCTCATTTTGCAATTGAGGATAGGGTCATTGTTGATTTACTCTATACATAGCTGGAAAGTGTCATTGTCTTGATTTGAACATATTTTCTGGCATTAAGTTTGATGTATTTTCCATTTATCCTCATTCTGGTGGTCAAGGGGGAGCCTTATAATGGAGAAGTTGAGAAAAAAACAACAACAGTACCTTAGGTTCTTTCTGAAGAGACGATGACACTAAGGGAAGTTAAGAAGAGTTGGAAGTCAAACTAAACATAATTGACACAGATGTCTTCCATTCTCCTCTAGGATTGCATGGATCATTCTCTCCTTGCTAAAAAAAAAAAAAAAAAAAAAAAAAAGAAGTACTGGAAGGTAGATACTTGCTGTTCTGTAAGGTTTTAGGAGCAGCAAGATTGCCTTAGGTTTTAAAATTAAGTTTTAGTTTTCTGATTTGTAGTATCTGGTTATGTCAATCAAAATGCCCATTTGTAAAACATATTCAATAAAACTTGGAATCATCGTATTAAGTTTGATTTTCTCTAAGTGATATTTCTACTATAGAGAGTAGTAATAAGTACAATAGAAAATGCTCAGTGAGTAACTCCTGGGTAAGTTTTAAGAAAGGACATCCTCCTCTTTAATAATGGGAAAAGGAGCCTATTTTCAGCCCTTCAGTAACTCTGGAACAATTTGAAGCCTGGGTGTCTGTAGAGAAAGAAGGAAGGAACTGATTGTTTACCCCTCTGCTTTCATTCTCTGAGGGTTTCTGTGGACGCTCTGCAAATATTTCTCATTCGGTCGTCATTCTCACAAACATTTCACTGAGTTTGTAGCTCATATGTTAAGTGCTGTGTTAGGCAAGGTGATCTTGTGCCTGGGCTTGTCAAGCAGAAGTGCCAGTTACATAGAGATGAGGAAAGGTTGTGCACCTGGAATGTACTGGATGAGCAATATAGGAGAGACAATTACAGTAAGTGTAACAATGACCACTTCTCGATTACCTACCGGTTTCCAGTGCCTAATGCTTTTATACATGACATCCATCAACACCCAGGACAATGCTATGAGATGCAATATTCCCATTTTGCAGAAGAGTCAACTAATGTGCGGAAAGGATTCATAAATTGCCCAAGTTCACAAAGGTGGTAAGTGGAAGATCTGGGATGCAAACCCAGGTCTGCAAGTCCATCAGGTGCAGCCTCCACAGAGAGCCAAAGATGGTGAGTTTGGGCAGGTTGGGTGATCATTGTGAGTGGGGCATATGGGGGCTTTCATCTGTTCCTCCCAGTAGGAAGCCTAGGCAGACAAGGTTACCCATGACCTTCATATCACCAAATCCAATGACGCTCCTCTGTTTTCATCAGTCTAATGGCTGACTACTCTTTTGCTTTTTCACCTGTCCCCGTTAGCATCCTCAACACCACACTCACTTTTTACCCTCCCATTTGTTGCTCCTCCACAATGTCCTTTGCCAGCTCCTTCTCTGCTCATCCTCTAAACACTGAGTGTCCCTGACTTAAGCTTCAAGCGATTCACTTTTTTCCCCCTTTCTCCTTAGATGATCTCTTCAAATACCATGACTAATATCATCATAAACAGGCAGAGGATATCCATGTTTTGAAATTCAGGTTCTACTTACCATCTTTCACCTAATTGCCCCCAAATTATTAAACTTGTGGGATTCTTTTTTCCACCCTCCCCCTCCCCCAACATCCAACCTATTTAAAGTTCTCCTTCCAACCTATTTGGTTCTCCTTCCAAAATAAATCCCAAATCTTCTCACAACCTTTTGTTTCCATTGCATGGGTCAAACCACCATGATTTTCCATTGAATCTTATAACTGTCTACCATACCTGTCCCCTAACCATCCTTCCTCCACAAAATGATCTTGGAAAAACAAAAAACAAAAAAACTGGACACCAGATCAGGTCACTTCCCTGCTTAAAGTCCTCCAATGACTTTTCATTGTAGTTAAGATAAAACCCAAATTGTCACCATCACATACAGAGCCCTAGAACACTGTGCTAATTGCTTTCACTCTCCTATCTTGCACTGGCTTTATCTCTGTTCCTCAAGAATGCTGAGACCATCACTTCCTCAAAGGCCATGGATTTTGTGGTCCCTTTTGCCTGGGGTTTTACCCTGCTGGTCTTAGCATGGTGGTTCCTTTTCATCTGCTAGGCCTCAGCTGCTGTCCTTTGATGGGATTTTCTTGTCCAAAGTTGTTCACAACCATCATTATTTTTTAAAGACATCATAGGACTAATCACTATCTGAAATTATCAAACGTATTTGTTTACATTAAGAAAAAAAACGTCTTCCACATCATGAAGGAAATCAGGAAAATCACATCAGGAAATATCTTGCATCTGCCTAATTTCAAGCCTTAATCCACACAAATGTGCGAATTTCCCCCTGAAAGGGAGAGCTGGAGGAGTCTGGACTTCCTGGCCAAAGCAGGTCAGGTTGGGTTGCTGGGCACCCACCAGTAAGAAAGACCTGGAAGCCCTGATTGCTGGAGAAGCCTGCTGACCCATTGAGTGAGCAGCCCAATTGGGAGGGGGCGGGTGTTAACTCACCAGCTAAAAGTTGACAGCTTAGATTTTCCTGGGAAGGGCTTTCTCTACCCTGAGGCCAATCAAGTGATCAGGGTCAGTCTGGAGCTTCACAGGCCTGGAGTGCCCTCTGGAGGCCAAAACTGACTGACAGACGGTGAACTGCATCTGCGTGAGCCATGCAGGATAGGAAATAACCAGGCACCTAGATAAGGGCAATATTGGAGAGGCAAGGTCACAGGAGGGGCCTCTTGGGAGTACCTGGCATCTGCCTAATTCTAAGCCTTACCCTACCCAAACAAAGGTAGTCCCCTGAAGGAGAAACTGCCTTACCCGGACTAGATCTGGCAGGCTGGCTGGGGTATCCTCCAATAAGAGACACCTGGGAGAATTCATTGACGGCCGCAGAAGCTGGGACCCTATCAGGTAGCCGGTCTACACAGGGCTTGATCCGTTGCCTATTTCAGCAGCTACTTCAGAGCAATTTCGGGGGAGGGGTAGGCTTCCTCCTCCCTGAAGACAATACAAATGGTTGGGGATGAGCCGTAGTTTGGGAAGCCTGGAGGGTCCCAGCTGCCCGTAGGCAGCTGATGAAATATGTACTGTACCTACATGGGAGGTATAGGTCAGGCTTGCCAGGGACCTGGGAAGGGGCAAGTGTCAGGAGAGGCTAGGTCACAGCAGAGAGCTGTTGGGGGTTGAACACGTGGGCCAAATCTCAAGCTTCATCCAGCAATGTGAAATATTCACTTTGATGGCAAAACTGGTGATTTTTCAACTGCCTTGTGAGGGAGGAGGTGAGCAGGGAAGGACATCCTCGATTGGGAGACATCTGGCAGTCCCGGTTCCTAGGGAGGACCTGGACCTCGTCAGACAGCAAGTCCACATGGGGTCTGTCCTCCATTTGGAGCTGCCACCTCAGAGCAATTTTCAGAATGTTGGGTCCCTCCATGCCGGAGGCTATGCCGAGTTTCAAAGGCCTGGAGGGCCGGGCTGGCCTGAGCTGGTTTATGGGTGTTTACTGCGCATGTGTGGGTGGGGCAGGTCAGGGTAGTTAAGGAGCGGAAAGCACAAGTCTCTGGAGGTGCCGGTCGCTGGAGCGGGCCCTTGGGGTTACAAGGCCTGATTCCAGGCCTTAACCTACCCAAGTGCGCATATTCCCGCTAAAGGCCATGCCGGAGTCCTCTGGACCGCCTTGCCAGGGCTGGATCCTCGAGGGCTGGCCTGGTATCCTAATTAAGAGATGCCTGGGGGCCTTAACTGCTGGAGAAGCCTGGGACCCCAGCACGCAGTAAGTCTGCATGGGCGCCGACTGGTGCCCATTTCAGCAGTTACCGCAGGGCACTGGGCGTGAGCTCCCTCCATCCCTGATAACCTGTAGGTGGTTGGGGATGGGCCCGGCTCCGTGGGCCCGGAAGGCCTCGGCTTCCTGAGGACCGCTAGTGGGGTCCAAAATACACATGCGTGAGACCTGGCAAGTGTTGGGAGAGCCTGAGTGACAAGGGCAGTACAAGGAAATACCCAGCATTGGCCTGATTCTAAGCTTTCACCTGCACAGATGTGTGTATTCTCACTGAAGGCAGAGCTGGAAGACCTGGGCTACTTTGCCATGGCAGGCGGGTGCTAGCTGGTGTATGCTTCAGTAAGAGACACCTGGGGGGCTTGATTGCTGGAGAAGCCGGCACCCCTTCAGGCCTTGGGTCCAAATGGGGCCTGACTGTTGCCAGTTTCAACCTGCTGCCTCAGAAAGATTTTGGGTGGTGGGCTCCCTCCTTCCTGAGAGAGCTATTCAGGTGGTTGAGTTCTGGCTGCCATCACACAGGCCCAGAGTGTCCCTGAGGCCCAGGTCCTGCCGACAGTGTGCGGACTGTGCAGGTTAGGGTGGCCAGGCACCTGGGGCGGGGCAAAGTTGGATGAGGCTCTTGGGGGTACAAGACATTAGTCCAATACATAAGGCCTACCCACCCGTTGTTTAATCCTCCCCCTTAAAGCAGGGTGAGAGTTTGTTCAACTGCCTTGACAGCGAGGGGCCAGGCAGGCAGGGAAAGGATATCCTCCATTTGGAGACACGTGGGAGTCCCGGTTCCTAGGGAAGCCCAGGACCCCACTGGCTGCAAGTCCACCTGGGG